CTGACTATTCCGTTTTGGTACCGAATAATAATATGCATGCTTGCGGTTGTTTCTATATATTGAAACTTCCATGTCTGTCTCCTACAATAGTTCAAATGGACTTGTTTGTTACAGGCCAATCTCTGATGTCTCTAGCGACCTTACCGTTGAAATTGGCGCATCAAGCTTTGCACTTCACAAGGTACACAAAACAAACTGCCAATCTCATCCTTACTGTATTCATCGTGGGTTTCTTAGTCCGACGATTTTGCCTTGCTGCTTATTTTGATTTAAATCCGATTTTTACCAATAACATCCTTGAAAATTGTATTATTTCATTTATCCATGTAACACATTAGACTACCAGACATTAGTAATTCTTAAGGTTAAGAATACTTTATGACCTCTTGATGCCTCAGCTGGAAAGAGAGAGAAGTGCAATATTGCAAAAATTCTCTCTGAATCATATGGGAAACTGAAAGGAAGGCATAAATTGATATATCATTACGTTGGAAGCATATGGAGTCTTTGTCGTGAACTTTAAGAGGTTTCTCTTTGTTTATCCTTGCAGTTTCCTCTAGTTTCTAAAAGTGGAAAAATTCGGAAACTCTTGTTAGAAGCAAAAGATTCAAAGGTTTCGCGCATAAGTCTCCCAATTGTACCGGGTGGAGCAGAGGCATTTGAGCTAGCTGCTAAGTTCTGCTATGGAATTATTGTTGAGTTCACTCTCTCAAACGTGGCTATGCTCCGTTGTGTTGCCCATTTTCTGGAAATGACTGAAGAATATGCTGAGAAAAACTTGGAGACTCGAGCTGAAGCTTATCTAAAGGAGACAGTGCTGCCAAACATCTCAAGCTCAATATTTGTTCTTCATCGCTGTGAAATGCTTGTGCCTATATCAGAAGAGACCAACCTCGTGAACAGGCTAATCAATGCAATAGCAAATAATGCCTGCAAAGAGCAGCTCACCTCTGGCTTGCTAAAACTTGACCATAATTTTCCTTCTAAAACCATCTCAAGCATGGAGCCAGAAACACCTTCAGATTGGTGGGGAAAATCTCTGAATGCTCTTAACCTTGATTTCTTCCAACGAGTCCTTTCTGCAGTGAAGTCAAAGGGACTAAAGCAGGACATGATCAGCAAGATCCTGATAAACTATGCACACAGTTCTCTTCAAGGGATTGTTGTTAGGGACCCCAAAGTGGTAAAAGGAAGTTCACTGGACTTAGAATTGCAGAAGAAACAAAGGGTCATTGTCGAAGCCATGGTTAACTTACTGCCAACTCAGTCAAGGAAGAGTCCGGTTCCAATGGCATTTCTATCAAGTTTGCTGAAAGCTGCAATAGCAGCATCGGCATCTACTTCTTGTAGGTCTGATTTGGAGAGGAGGATGGGTCTTCAACTTGACCAGGCAATTCTTGAAGACATCCTAATTCCTGCAACCTCAGGTCTGAATTCCCACTGTACAATGTATGACACTGATTCAATTCTGAGGATCTTCTCCATTTTTCTGAACTTGGACGAGGAAGATGAGGATGATAGTCACTTGAGAGATGAGAGTGAAATGGTATATGACTTTGACAGCCCCGGATCTCCAAAACAAAGCTCAATTCTGAAGGTGTCTAAGTTGCTAGACAATTATCTTGCTGAAATAGCATTGGACTCAAACTTACTGCCATCAAAGTTCATAGCACTTGCAGAACTACTCCCAGATCATGCCCGAATTGTAAGCGACGGACTCTATAGAGCTGTTGATATCTTCCTAAAGGTAAGCACACCCCCCCCCCCCAAAAAAAAAATCCATTGCAAGTTCTATGTATTGCTGGGAGTATATTACCATATGTTTATTTCCATATAGGTTCATCCAAATATGAAGGACTCAGAGCGCTACCGGCTTTGCAAAACCATAGATTGTCAAAAACTGTCCCAAGAAGCTTGCAGCCATGCAGCTCAGAATGAAAGGCTTCCAGTGCAAATGGCAGTCCAAGTCTTGTACTTTGAGCAAATCAGGCTGAGAAACGCCATGAATGGGGGACACAACCAGTTATTCTTTGCGGGTTTCAATGGTCAATTTCCTCAACGTTCAGGAAGTGGTGCTGGGAGCGGTGCCATTTCCCCAAGAGATAACTATGCATCAGTGAGAAGAGAGAACAGAGAGCTGAAGCTTGAAGTTGCAAGAATGAGGATGAGGCTGACTGACTTGGAGAAAGATCACGTGTCTATGAAGCAGGAGCTTGTGAGGTCTCATCCTGCTAATAAGCTATTCAAGTCATTTACGAAAAAGCTTGGCAAGCTCAATGCTTTGTTTCGGATCAACAATATTAAGCCAATTGGACCAAAAGGTAGTGCTGACAATCGGTTTCCTTTTCAAAAGAGAAGGCGTCACTCGGTTTCATGATCATATGAATGTATAATATAAATATGTATGGCAGAATTGATGTATAGTATGCGTAGTGTGATTTTTGTGTTTATTTTCCAGTCGATAGTTTGAATTTTGGTGCTGAGTTTGTTGTGTTCAAATTGTATCATCAACCAAACATGGGCTGGATTATTTGAGAGTGGATGCTTAATAAAGTAGTATCTCTGATTGAGAATTTTGACATTACTTCATAACATATCAAGCTAACTCGCTCTCTCAGGCAACAAAGTTTCAGTTTCAGTGTCTGCTCTTTGGGATGGGAAGAGTGGTGGCATAAATGGGTCTCAGAACGATAATATTCATATTCAATGAAGGTATTGCTTGTAACGATCTGCTAAGGATATGGATTTCAATGGAAGATATACTACCTCTGGTCCTTGATATAAGACCTTTTTTTACTTTTATTTTGGTTCAAAATATAAGATCCCAATCCACTTTGTCTCTCATATTTATACATTTTTTTTTCAAAGTAGCCCTTCTAATAATGATAGTTTTAATCAATACACTTGATTAATAAGGATATTTTAGGAAAGACAACACATATTTAGGACAAATAAATAATTCAAATTACTTCTTTAATATTTTCAAATTAGTCAATTGGCTCTTATAATTAGGATCAGAGGTAGTATAATGCATTCTTGTGGAACCAGATTACTGTATATTAAATTTAAATTATAAAAAACATGAAAAACTCACCAACACATGACTCCGTGGCCCAATGGATAAGGCGCTGGTCTACGGAACCAGAGATTCTGGGTTCGATCCCCAGCGGAGTCGTTTTTTTTGGTTTCTCCTTTTTCCTCTCAGAAATAAATGCGTTTCCCCGGGAAACAATACACCAACACGACATCGTTTGGCATGAACCTTTTGCGCAGTCCGGGACCGTTCTGCTGCATAGCAATCATTATTCCAATGAATTTGTGCGTTATTCTTAAAAATATAGAAAAAGGTTTTCCAAAGTACGGGGAATATATTAATATTATAGATGTCATAATTTAAGAGGCAAAACATTAATTCGTGAAAGATCTATTGATCAAATGCAGAGAGAACTGAACACTTCTGTATTATACTATTTCTGATTCTAATGGTAAGAACTAGTTGGCTAATTTGAAGAGATTAAAAAGAAAAGTTAAGTTAGTTATTTATAATAAATATGTGTTGTCTCTTTTAAAATATATTTACTAATCAAGTGTACTGATCAGAACTATTATTGTTAGAAGGATTATTTAAAAAAAATATACATATGAGAAATAAAGTGGATTGAAATTTTATATTTAAAACCAAAATAAAAATCAAACAAAATATTATATTAAGTACGAGTAGTACATGGGCTTCTGAGTCCGTCTAACAGTGCTTTTGTAATATACATATAAACAATTGAAGCTTTCGGTGATTTTATGTGGAAAAGGCTATAAGCAAACCGTACTCCTTGATCTGGGTTCCAAAGGCTTCAGACGTCAAGATATTTTTCTTAATTACCGAGTCAACTTAACTTTGCTTATTGGTTTATTTTTTTTAGTGTAAAATTATGCGATCCATTCCATTAGTCACGCTTAAAAAGCACTTCCCAATTAACTAAATTAAGCAGCAAAACAAACAGATATATTCCGAATGAAAGAACATGAAGCCTAAGCCTTGCTTTGTGCGGAAGGCTAAATTGAAAAGGAAGGTTTAGCATATTCGCTAAAAGAAGCAGTATAGAATGGAAACGTTAGTGCAGGGCCGGTTCTTGGCATCACATACAGTGACAGCGGGGGAGTATATGTAAACATATGGATTCTTGGACAAATTCCTCTGATTGACGTTTATGTCTTTCTTTTTTCTTTTTGGTCCTACTATTTTCTGTGTTCTCAGGGCATCCCACGTGTTAATTCATTTTTTCCATTTGAAATCCTTGTACTATTTATTTGCCAAAAGACAAACACCCTTGTACTACTAGTGAAGAAAGTTTTTAAAGCGCAGTACATGTATAGCATCTTCATTCTTCGTTTGGAGTATTTGGATGGAAGTCAAACCATGATTTTAAAAGTGTTTTTACGGTATACGAAATAAACATGTAAAGGAATTTGTTTCGTTTTGTGGAAAAGTGTTTTTTAAAAACACTTTTCTATCTTGCCAAACACCTCCTTAAGCTCATATGGTGCCGAATTTTACATGATTTGACTAGCTTATCTTATTAATCACTACCTATTTGGATGGACCTAACCATAACTTCATTTTCCAAATTCGTACTCCAACCATGTTTTGCGTAAGTCTAGACTTAAAATCCTCATCACACTACAACCATATCAAGTTCAATGTAGATATCCTTAGATCAGATTCTTTCACTGAATAAGTTGAAAGTATAGCATAAATATATATAAGAAGCCGCTGATGTTTTTCTTTTTTTTAATTAAATTCCATATTACTCACTGTTGACAAGACCTTTTAATTAATCCATTCTGCTATCAGGTAATCAAACGGCGTAGTGGAATACTCTAAAATACGTACAGAGGTATTATATTCCTTTTACTTGCGAGGTATATTTATATACTGGATTTCTTGAGGGATTATTTTAATTTATCCATGCATCAATATGATAATCTGGGAGCCATCATGTGCGACTGAAGCAACGCAACTCAATACTTAAAATTCGCATTAAACTGAGTCTTATGACAAGTTTCTCAAGTAACATGGTACAATGCTCTCTCAAAAGGAAAACTGAGCTCCAAGAAGCTCCATACTATAACAAGGAAAAAGTAGAGCTCCAAGAAGCTCTATACCGTCACTAGGACCAAAACATCAAAACATGAAAACAAGCGAAGTAGGAAGATTAAAAAGTGCTTATTTTGAAATCTGCAGAGATGCATATAGCTAGCGTGCCCAGATGAAGATGGCTCTAGCACTTAAAAGCAACTGGGAAAGCTTATTCTGAATATTGAGGCTGAACACTTCATTAGCGCCTCCTATGAATTGCTGACCTATGAACACCGAGGGAACACTTGGTCTGCAACCTAACTGCATAAGAGCCCTCTCTATTTGTTGCCCATTAGGCAACTTGTCAACCTCTATAACTGTAGGGTTTGCTCCAAAGCTACATATCAGAGCCTTCACTGTATGGCTCATGCAGCAACTACTTTTGCTGAATATCACCACTGGCTTGTCTGCAATCAACCTTGCCACCATTTCCATTTCTGAATGATTATGGTGGAGATAATTGATGGGTTAGGCTTAGGCTTCCCTCTGAGTTTTGTTTGTGTTGTTGAGTGGTGATGAGAAGCTGATCTATTTATAGTAGGTCACTGGTTGATGAAATTGGATTATTTCCTTCACAGAATAACAATTCAAGAGAATAAACTCTTTACTTAACTTGATTCCTAACTCGTCCTTTTTGGTAATCCCTCCTGTAGCTTTTTTGGGTTTCACAATGGATCTGGCCCGATATGCTGGCTATGTGAAAGTTAGCTAGCTCTGTCATTTGCCATTGTAAGAACAAGTCTACAATATACTGGTTTAGTATAAAATTTATTGTTTATGATCAAATACTTGCGATTTAATCATTCATAGCATTTGTTCTGTTTCTTCATGAAAACAGGACTGTTAAGTTTTGGGAGAATCTGAAAAGATGGAGACATAAGTTTGCGATTATCCAATGAGTGTGCGGTGGCAACTTTTCATCTCTTCGCAAAATTCGCATCGAGTTCAAATCCCAAATTCTGAAAGCTAAATAGAAAAGGAGATATCATGGGGAGGTAAAGAAGATGCTAATTTAAAGGCAATTAATCCCGCCCGGCTATTTTTTTTCCTTCTTCTTCTTTATTTTCTCTTTTCGGTTGCTCTGGTTTTTTTTTTTTTTTAACCATGGAAATCCATTTAAGGGTACTGGAAAGGGAAACAGAAAAAAGATTCCTTTTTTTGTTCTTTCATTTTTCGCACACTGTATTGATCAAGGAAGATGCTCTGTGCTGAAAACATATGATTTACGATCAGAAAATATAAACTTTTTCCCAAGCCTCTGACGCCTACCTCAATGCATAATTCTGGACACACCATTCTTTGTTCATGTCATGTCTTCAATCTGCAGTTGCAACTGATATGAATATAAAGTTAAAACCTTTCTTTTACCTGCGATATGGTAGAAAATTAAGATTTGCGAGATAAGAATCACAAGTCACAACCCTTTCTTCGGCATCTTTTGTTGACATGCAAAAGTCTGATAGAGATAGATAAAATTCTGTTTTGCAAGTCACAATGAATGAGAAATGCAAAAAAACCAGCAATTTATTCGAATTATTAGTCAATTTGCAAAATGACTTATGAAAATTCGTTGATATGTTTTAAAAATAAAAAAAAGAACACTGCTTTTGGTGATTTTCCCCCATCATTTAGTGTTAAAAATAGCGTTGGATAAAAATTAAACGTTCACCTACACTATGTCAGCAAATGTTGTCATTATTTCAGCAGTAACAGAGTTAACAGTGAACAAAAAATACACAGAACAAAGAGGAGATTCCTAGCTTTAGATTACAGAAAGAGTTCATCATATAATCTCTTATCCGGTAAGCATCCAATGAGATCTCAATTTTTGCTTTTGAGGGAATTTCTTGGCTTCACACCATCGAAAATAACATGTTCATATAGAGACAATATTAAGGTAGTGTTGTTGCCAAGGAATTTTCCACGTGCCTGCAGCTCGGGAAGGAACCCCAGTTGACCCCTCATCCCAAATTCTGTTGTCTGTTGCACGGATTCTCATAATAAAAATGGCTCAACCTTGAGGCCAAGGGTCAGTTGACTTTGATATCCCTTCATCTTCATCACATTTTCATTAAAATCAATTAAAGCATCAAGTTCGCAAAGCGAAACATTAAAAAAAAAAAATGTAAGGTAAAAGATCAGAAAAACAGGCTGGCAGGTAGCTTACTGTTTTCTTTGGTGAGTCATTAGTTTTCCTTTTTCCCCTTCTGCCTTTATGATCCATTACAAGACATGATCGCTCTTCTTCATATGGTTATGCGAACGTTACTTTGATCATGCATTACAGAACAAGGGAATAAATATATATATGTATATATATTAGCATGCAACAGAAGCTTCATATTTTCTTTGTTGCAGATTTCATGTATATCTCTCATAATCCATTGTCATACATGAAGTTAATTTCGTTTCTCTTCAAATCCATCTCATCAAGCCCTAGGCGTAACTGTCATAATTGGAATATCATGTTGCTAAGCATTCTCATCAAGATATATATAGAAGAACAGTATCCCCACTTCTCTTTTGAAAAATAATGAACTGTGAGATTGATTAAAGTACAGTCGCATGTATCAGTTCTTGGAGTTCAACTTTAGTACAGTCAGTTTGATGCCTTTGGATCACTCAACTTCTGGTCCTGTGACGTAGGAATGTTGACACGAATCAACAAGGATGTATAAAAGTCATATAAACGAGAGAAGTTTGTGAATTTTGTAACAAAACTTTAGATATCAAACAGTTCTTTAGCAGATTAATGAGGTGTAACTTATGAGGCATGCATGTTGTACCCTTATTTCTATTACAATATCAATTTACAACCCATTACGATGTCAACTTTTTACGATTTTTTAAAGAAAAATACCATAAAATTATGCAATTTTTAATATTTTTCTTTACAAAAGTATAACAAGTATAAAATTGCACCGTTTTATGATTGTAACATGATAGAATATCTCTTGTTCATCTACAAGTTAATGATCAAAAGGCAGCCAAAAAAAAAAGAAGAAGACGAAGGTGGGGTGTTGCAAGTAGTAGAGGTTTGGGACATTATTAAAGGTCCTCAAAACCAACATAATGACAATAAAGAGGACCAAAAAAGACTCCTTAGCCTTTGATTAGAGAAAGATCAGTTCAGGGTATAATCTCTTAACTGCGCATCCAATAAGATCTTACTTTATCTTTTGAATGCATTGCACTGCATGACAACATCAAAACAACACATGTTCACACGCATATAGTAATTGTACGTAATATGGTGGCCACGGAATTTTGCACGAGCCTGAAGGTTCAGAAAGCACCCCAATTTCTATCAGCTGTTATAACGGTTCTTCAAAAACGGCTCAAAGTTGAAGCAATGGGTTTCACTTTCAATTATATGTCCAAAGCATCAAATCTGGGTGGATTGCTTTCCTTCTTCTTGAACTATGCTTCTAACCATAATTGGCCATAAAGAGAGAGAAAATGAAGACGAGAATGAAAGTACGAAGAGATGGCTTTGTCATTATTATATCACTCTTCCATCCTTCGTTATTATACCAGAACTAATTAAAAGAAACATAGCATGAACGACGCCATCATATACAGAATCAATATAAAAGAAGAAGATGAAACGGAAAGGGGGCGAAGGACAGACACTGAATCAAAGAAGCCCGAATATTTAAGTAATACAATCATGAGTGATATATGGCGTGCATTGTTGGCCTAGCTAAGCTGGAAGAAGCAAAACATCAAAGTACAGAATAGTTTAAGCTCTATAATCAGAGACAACTGCGTGCAATTCTCATTCTGTGACAGACAGCTACAGAGAAACGTGCGTGTGCCTATAATTAATTAGTAAGGATCAACCAGGGACAACCTGGACTTCTACGAATCCTTTTTTGGCGTCCAAATCCAAATGGCTCTGGCATTCAGGAGCAGAGTGGGTAGCTCGTTCTGGACATGGAGGCTCATGATTTTGTGGGCACCACCAATGAATTTTTGGCCTATGAATACAGCTGGTACAGTAGGTTGACTCCCCAATTGAAGCAATTCCCTCTCTACCTGCGTCCCATTACTGATTTGGTCAATCTCATACACAGTGGGATTTGCCCCAAAACTGCTTATCAGTGACTTAATGGAGAAGCTCACGCAACAGCTGCTCTTGCTGAATATCACCACTGGCTTGTCTGCTACCATGTCCTTAATAACGTCCATTATATCATATATGAAGGGTTGTCAGCTTGAGAGTGAGTTTCATCGATCATGAGCTATTCATTTATATGGTGGCTCAATGCGGAGTGGAACAAGGAATATGATCGGATAAGAAAATTGGGGAAAACTCTCGAAGGTGAACCACCTTTTGGCCGGCGCTGATGACAAGTTGCCCTATCTTTTAGTTCAATCTAATGAATGCAAAGCTTTATGGGGGAGAATAAGATCCATGGTTGGTTGTGGGTAATAACGTATACTAAATCTTATCACCATGATGCTCTTCTAGTCTTTAGACTTTAATATATACAAGTTTCTTTTAACCTATTTTACATAGATTGTCCTTCAATTAAAATCAACTCATCTTAATTATTTTTAATTTTTGTGTCATATCATTTCTCATAATTAATTACAGCACTTTTTTTTTCAAAATTACAGCTCAATTAATAAGAGTGTTTATAGAAAAATAGAATAATTGGTGACTTATATTAAAATACTAGATTGGGTATTTTCTTATTTTGACGCTCTTAGAAAATCACCTTTTTTTTTGTGCGAACATATTCTGAAAGAATAGATCGCAAAATATGAAAGAACAATTTCTTATGGTATTTTCTCCCAATATCCTACCTACCCTTGTTTACGTTAGCTCAGCTGTGAACACTCTCCAAATCAAATTCATGCGAAGCTAATTAATTAATTACAATGCTACTTGATACTCAAGTAAGGTCGTTACACTACTCCACCTCTTGCTTCAAGTGAGGCTAATTAACACCTGGTATCATTTTTAATGATAATTAGTAAATTATATATCGCGTTATTTCTCCATTTATTTACATGACATATATTATATATTATATCGTATATGATATATGTTCTATCTATTTATAACACATATATACATGCATGTAATATTTTATGACTTGGTAGATGAATATATTAACATTATGAAGTTAATAATATAATATATTAGCATACATTATAATGGTTATTACCCTTTTCCTTGGAGTTTTATTCTCTTGCTTTTTTTCATCACCAAGAGGTCTCTCGGAATACACCACCAGTAAGAGAATTATTGTCATAGAATTTTATTTTTATAATTTATTTCCATTTTTTTTACTTTCTTTTAAATTTTCTTTTGAACATATATTTCAGAAAAAGTTTTCCCCTCAAATTGCGCAGAGTTTCTCTCTCATGCCTTTTCCGAGAGCTAGCTTCTTTCTATTATTTTCATGAGAAAATTTCAACAAGTCATCATTGTTTTCTTTCAATGTGATCAACAATCACACCTTGATATTTTCATAATGAGGGGGAAAAAAATAAGTGAGTTTGGAACTATAGGCTCATCAAGGACTAAGACAATCAGTCTTAAAGCTAAAATAGCCCTCATAATAAATTAAAGATACCTACAAATCATTCATTAATTCCCATAATTATTGATAGACTACAGCAGCATTTCAGTAACAAATCAGAACCCATCAATAATATACCAATAACGGAGTTTTTTCTGCGTTTCTTCTGATTCTGCCTATCTTGGAGCATCTATCTGCAAGGACTGATGAAGTCTTAAGTCAAATAACTCAGAAAACTTCAAAGCCCAAAGAGCAAGAAAAAATAAGCGAAAATCTGCAGGAAGCAATAATGGCGAAGAACTTTAAATATTAACATGGTCCAAGGAGTCATATATAATTTCACTCTTTAGCTTTTGAGACCACAAAGCCTCACGGGGACGCGTACGTGGTTAAGTCACACACACACACACACACACACATATATATTTATATCGACAAGAGGAATATATATGAGATTATGAGCTAAAAGTAGTTGAGAAAAGAGACAAGACAACGTTAAGAAGAGATGAAACGAATATATATATCACAAACGAATGCGGTGGTGAATAACATACACAAAGTAACTTAGATACCCCCCTTTCACGTGCATTGCACAAGGACGGCTTACACAAGCACGTGTATGTTCTAAGTTGTTTCGCGTAGACGTGTGTCGTGTGCATGCACGCGCATTTTTACGTACTCTAAGGATCTTGTCTTGGGTGTACGTGAACGTCGTACATCTTGTGTGTTTCGTACATATGCATGAGCATGCAGCATCGTACGTACCATTGGTGGGTGTTTCCATCTTTGTCGCTTCATATACATGTGTGTGTGTGTTTGTGTGTTGTCTGTGTGTGGTGTAGTTTTGATGCCTTTTGAGGTGTGTTTGAAAACAATATTAGAAGGACTAGATCTTGATTTAATATAAGGTAGGACGGAAGTCTGCTTCGCCATGTCATCAGTAAATGTTGTCATTATTTCAGCATGAACCACGAAAAGCAGATAACAAAAGAAGAGATTCCTGGCTTTATATATATTTACAGAAAGAGTTGCTGATATAGTTTCTTATCAGCTCCGCGTCCAAAGAGATTTTATTTTGTATGCTTTTCCCAGTGCCTTCAGCTTGGGAATTAGAAATCCCTCATCCCAAACTTCTACTCCTGTTCTGTCAATTCCCATGAAACGCCTCAATCTTGAGGCAAACGGTTGTCTCGGTTGTTATACATGCTCCATATATAAATACATATATCCGTTATGCTTCTGGGTCATAATTAGTTAATACTACCTCCGGTCCTAATTATAAGAGTTGACTAATTTGAGGAGATTAAGGAAATAAGCTGAGTTAGTTATTTGTCCTAAATAGATATTATCTTTCCTAAAATATCCTTACTAATTAAGTGTATTGACTAGGACTATCATTATTAAAAGGGCTACTTTGGAAAAAAAAACGTTGATCGAGTTTTTCAAGGCAAGAACCCAGCCAAAACTTTATTTATCGGACGTAGACTTAGCTTTACCAAATGTTTACAAGTTTTCTTCTTAAAGGATGCTTCTGCAACCTCTGACAAACCTTGAGTTATTCATCAAGCAGGCCTTCGAATATGAATGCGAGCAATAATGTGCCGCACGTATTGGAAAGCATGAGAACGTTTTTGTACTTTTTTTTTGCCAAAGTTGAAGTGCATGCATATAACTTAATCACTAATGCCATCGAACTTCGCTTTAACCAACGAAATTTGGGGGCATCAGCTTAAGTAGTTGGAGAGGCGCGTTGGATTTATCTTATTGGGTACCATGGAGCAATTAATCATAAGATTCGCTTCAAGTCCCAAATTCCCAAATCTGAGTGGCAAAATAAAACATGCTGATTTAATTTAAAGGTAATCCCACTCTGCTTTTCTTTTGCTTTGGCCCAGAGCTGAGTGGAAACAGAAAAAGGTTACATATTTCGCTCCAATCTTTGCTCATTGTATAGACCAGGGTTCACGGATGATGCTGTAGCAACGTGATGTTTGGTAGAATAAAGTAATTTTTGAAGAAAATTGAAAGTAAAGAGAGAGGGAGAGAGGCTTCTTGGCGATTTTTAAGCCAAAGATAGATAAAGATGTGTTTAAATAAAAACATGAACTTAAATATTGTATTGAAAGCGTTGACATTATTTTAATATATAATGGAAGGCAATATTTAAATATTTATATAATATAATAATCATTTTTAAAAAAAATTAAGATATTTTAACTCATAAACAGTATTACTTATTCTTTATAAAATTACTTGTAGCGTTTTTATATTACCATTCATGTTTTCCAAAATTCTAAATTTAAAATTTCATAATTATTTTTAAAATATCAAAGATAATATTTTCAAAAAATCAGTGAAGGCTAAGGGCTTTTTCAGATAAAATAGTCAAAATATTTCAGAACTAAGGATAAAATTGGCAACAAATTTCTAGTTTTGCGGTAGAAAAAGCTCATTTCTTTAACTCAGTGAAAGGAGCCTACTTCTTTTATTTGAGAGAAATATCATTTTTTTTTAAAAACTTAAAAGGGTAAATGTGCAAATTTACCTTTGATCTTATTTTTTAAGTACATCTAGTACTCCAATCTTTTTAATAGTGCAATTATCCATGATTTTTTTTTTTTTTGCAATTTTACGCATAATCTTTAAGTGTAATTTTACGCCAGGGATAAATTTGCGCCCAAAACAAATTAAAAAAGATTATAAGTAGCATTATACCATTAGAAAAATCAGGATGTTCGGTGTATTTAAAAAATAAGATCGGATAAATTCGAAACTTGGATAACGTGTATCAAATATTCCATATATATATATAGAAAGATTTGTTTTTTCATTCTTCTTTCTTTTCTTGGGGACACCCCCTTCACACATACCAAACAAGAACTACTAGAATATTGTTTGTATTTTCGGATTCTAAGTGTTTAATGCATTTTTCCCTATTAAATCTTTGCATCAAGTCTAAATGTTTTATTTTTATATAAGCTTAAATATTGCTTTTTTTATAGAATAAAAACAAACCTGAGCTGTTGAAACATCCAAATAATCTATTTACCACACCCTTGGATGGGTAGTTATATTTGAGCGCGTTATATTCTCAACTAGGTTGAATGTTTTAGGCATCAATCGTTTGGGGATTTTTTTTTTTTTTTTTTGAAGATTCAGATCTATGTGGAGTATCCTCCTTTAATTACCCAAAATCACAACCTTTTTCCTGGGCATCTTTTGTTGACCAATATCATGGGGAAAACCTAAGAGGAAATTTTTTATCAAAGCAAAGTCTCAAAGGACGATCAAAATCTATTTTACAGGTCAGTCTTTACTAGATGAGCAATGTAATAAGCTAGCAAACTTTGACCAGAAAATCAAAATGTTGCTTTCGGTGACCTTTTTCCCATTGTTAATGTTAAAAATGGCGTTGGATAAGCATTAATGGACTAATAAAGCTTGATTTAGTTCATAGTGCAAGAGATGTCGCGCACCCATGTCAGCAAACGTTGTCATTATATCAGTAATACTCATCTAGTTCTTAATATATGACCCAATTGTTGAATTGGTTTTAGTCCTAAATATAAGACTTATTTCTCATATTTATAAGTTTTCTCTAAATTACCCCTATGGATACTCCCTCAACCATAATCAAGTAAAAGAGGAAAAAGAGGTATTAAGAAAGATGATTATGGTGTTTTAGGAAAAACGTGTCACATTTCTTATAATTAACTAACTTACCTAACTTCCTTAATCTAATCAAATTAGTTAAATAGGTCTTATATTAAGGACCGGAGGAGTACTGTGAACCAAAATAGAAAAAGAGATTCCTTGGCCTTTGATCAAAGAAAAATCAGTTCAGGATATGATCTCTTAGCGCCTATGCATCCTCCTATGAGATCTTACTTTAAGTTATCTTTTGAAGCCATTGCATTATTGCACGTTCGACATCAAAATAACATGTTCACATGCAGACAATATTGTACGTAATGTTTTGTAGAGCCACACAATTTGCCACGTGCCTGCAGCCTGGGAATTAAAGCCCCTGAACTGTACTATATTATTGTCTGGTCTATCAATCCTCATAAAACGGCTCAACTTTAAAGCGAAGGTTTCGCTTGTTTAATTTTTTCACTTCAATTATCCAAAGCATCAAATCATGAAGGATTGCTTCTCTCTTCCTCTTGAGCTCCGTTTTAGGCTATGCTTGGCAGTGCAGAGAAAGAAAACCGAAACAAGAATGTTAAGTACGAGGAGTTTTATCGTTATCATGTCAGTATTCTATCCTTCATTATTATATTAGGATTATAAAAAATATATATAATATGAACAAACAGTGCCATCGTGATGGGTGCAGACTGCAGAATCAATTAAACACAGGGGTATGTGATTGAAACATCAAAATTCTAACTAGCTACAAGAATAAGAAGAAGATGAAATTGAATTAAAGAGGTGAAGAGAGAGGAGAAACTGTAAGCATTCAATTATCGTTGTATACAAGTAATACAATCAAGGTGGCGGCTTATATTGCCTAGCTAGAAGACGCAAAATATTAAAGTACGTGCCAGTTCAGGCACTCTAGTCTCTAAAACACAGAACACTGATTCTCAATTTGTGGTAAGTAGACAGAAACATGCATGCCTATGCCTATATATAGTTTATATATATTTCAATGATACAACAAACTGGGTTTTTCCAGAGATCACTTCTTGTTCCAAATCCAAATGGCTTTGGCATTCATGAGCAGAGTCACTAACTCGTTCCGAACATGGAGGCTCATGATTTGGTTGGCACCACCAACGAAGTTTTGCCCGATGAACACAGCAGGTACGCTTGGTTGACATCCCAACTCAGTCAATGCCCTCTCTATCTGCTTCCCATTGCTTAGTTGATCAATCTCATACACAGTAGCATTCGCCCCAAAACCACTAATCAGTGACTTAATGGAGTAGCTTAAGCAACAGCTGCTCTTGCTGAATATTACCACTGGCTTCTCTGCTACCATGCTCGTGATCAAGTCCATGAGATAAGCTCAAAGAGTTGTGAATCGTGGGCTATGTGTCATGTATGGAGACTGAGCTTTGTCAATGGTCTATTTATATGGTGGGGATTGGAGTGGAGAAAGAATAAAATCGGAAGAGAAAATTTTAGAAAATTCTTGAAAATACTGGACCCTTTGGCCTGCACTGTGCGTTTTGTGGATGACAAGTTGCCTGGTTTTTTTTTTTTCCCCCTCTCCTTCCTTTCTGCTTTTTGGTTCAATCCAAGGGTTCCAAAACTTTCTGGGAGAATAAGATTCATGGTTGTGCAGTGAGGCATTTATTTTTGTCCACACCAAATCGGCAAATCTTATCATCGATCAGGATTTAGATCTTAGAACCCGTAAACGATTTCAATGTGCTGCTGTTACTAATGATGGGGTTCTCTGCGTTTCTTCGATGTCTGTATTTCGGAACATCTGCTACGTACGATTGATAAAGTGGTGATGATACATAACTAAGCAACTTTTTATTCATCGTAAGATTCGCAATCCTAATTTCAACTAAGAAAAAACAAGGGAAGAGGCAAATATCTAGTAATAGTAGACGTGTTTTCTCAAATGGTGCACGTATCTTAAAAATAGGCTCTATTATTTATGAACTTGCTTGAATTAGGATAAGTAAAGAGGAGAAGTGAAATTCGCTTTAAATATAGTTATTAAAATTTTTATTATATATATACTGGTACTGGATGTGGCCTTCTTATTTGAGAGTTTTCTCTCTCTCGCTTCACATTTTAATATTTCATCTTTTGACGTTAGTGTTTTGGAGCTCCAAAGTGGAGAAACACACAAGCATGCGTGCGCACGTGCATGTGTACACAGCAATTGACATGACGCCCACATCAATTCTCATATGATAAAAATCCTTAAATACAATTTTCCTAAACTAAAATGCTTGCGGAGAATTAAATGTTGTTTGAAAAAACAAAACGGCTTAGCCCTTTTGAACCCCTAAAGCCAAGTTGCATGATGTAATGACCATGCTGGAAGATATCGCTAGCCACGATATGTTTAAGTGCATAAACGTCAAGGGCTCTGCACTTAGATAATGAGCAATGGCGAACTTAAATTAGCAGCACCAAATTCAAAAAAACTGTCTGGAATCTTGAAGTTAAGTGAATTCCGACATAATGAAGTGATTTTGTCTCAATTGGCGTCAAACATGCTAAAATCAAATGGGCTTCAGATCAGTTTCAAAATGGTGAAATTTCGCAAAGTCATCTTACTTTTTAGAATCATCATACAGAATCGAACATATCGGGGTGTTTTCACTAAATTCCAAGATAATAAAGAGATTTTGTATTAATTGGCTTCAAATACACTAAAATCGAATGGAACCTGATCTCGCATTTGAGACCACAAAGCCTCACAGTGACGCATGGTCTAGTCCAGTTATATGGATCAGAGGAATATATGGCGAACGACGATGAGAAAATAGACGGGGGAATATTTTGATAAAACGCGGTGGTGGTGGTGGGTACTACTGTAACGAGGACGGTTCTCCACATGCGGGATCATGAGCTTAAATCAGTGTACATAGGCACTAACGCTCTCTCTTGGCTTGTTACCCACCAAGATCTGTATTCTTCCACTTTAACACCTTTTTAAGTGCTCGGCAGCGTGTATATTCACTTCACAATTTTCTTCAATGACGCAGGTTACATATTTATAACAAATGACTGATGCTGTTTTCTGCAGCCCAAAATCTAGTATTATGCTTAGCCTTTGCATTTTAGATTGATCACCATGTAAAGACCACATGTCATTTTTCAATGGATTCTTCAATTGGAACCTTCGTACAATGTGTTGTTTGCCTTCAAGTCTCGATCATGCGGTTCCATGTGACAGACTTTACAAACTTCGATGACACTGGCGAATCTGACACTAAAATTACTGATCCATTACTAGAATGAAAGTAACATGTTGTACAATGTTTGAGCTACTTGAATCGGCTGGATTGAGAATTTCATCGTCGTTTAACTGATATATTGCCCGCTGGGAAGCACGGTACAGAACTGTACAGTTATACCCATTTGGGATTCAGTAGTTCCAATTTCAAGCATAAATTGTTCCGCTAAAAAGCTTAACTACAAATCAAGTCACGAGTATCAGCATCCTCATGCCTATTTTATCGTGTCTGGAACCAAAGAATTGTAATGCTCACCTAGTCCAAATGCGTGCTTATGGTATGAAAGTATGATACTGGAATTCAAGGAATCAGTGCCGCCTTGAGATTTGTACTCTTTCCCCATCTCAACGTCTGGGAAGGAGCCTGAAAATATCATAATATGCCTTTTTAAGCAGTGAGTCAAGGCACCAAGCTCTAGTTGTCCGCCCCACATTGCCGTTGACTCCACCTCTTTACAGTAATCTTCAAACTTCTGGGCAAGTGATTCATCGGAATCACCTTCTACCAGATTCTCTGACAGGAAAAATGGAAGGAAATCAGGTGCATGCTTTCTCATATATTCCGCTGCCATTTCTCTAAGTTCCTGGTATGTATAAGGAGATGTGGACCCGGAGAGGAGGGCTAGCTGATCCTCGACAGCTCTATAAAGACAATGTCCATCTGGCTTTATTTCATTGACCGTCAAACCAAGAGGCTTCAGCTTTCTTTCCAACTTCTCATTTTCAACCACACGGTCACTTACAACGTCATCCTGCTCAGCTTGGATTCTTTGCTCCCTTTCTACTTCCTGTTGAGCCCTCTTGTCTCGCCTCTGTTTGGCCTTGCTGACCTTTGAATGATCAGGTTGACTGGTAACTGAGACTCCAGCTATGGCCTTCACCAAACTATCCAAATTGCTCTTTTCATTTCCATTACTACTGCTAAAGCCTAACCTAGACAATTCTTCTGCGTGCTTCTCCTTAAGTCTGGCAGAAAGTTGAGAAATCTGTTCCTCCACTTGCTTTTTCTTGGCTTTCTGCTCAGCCTTGCTACCTCTAGCTGCTGCCTTTTTCAGTTCAATTTCCTTCTTCTGCAGCTGCGATGTCTCTTTCCTACACGCATTTTTATCATGGGATAACCAGAAGCAATAAAGAACCTAAAGTCCATAAAAGTTAGACCTAAATCACAGATAGCATGCTTGGTTTAATTAACAATCTAACCCAAAAGGTACCTCAGAGTCATATACAATGATTACAATGCAAAACACATGCCTCTTCTGAGAGTCAAACAATTTATGGACATTGAAAATAACAGGTTATATGGTAGGGTATCCACTGCCTTTGGATGCTACGTCATTGTGTACTGCTAAACCTTTGGTAGTTCAGAACCCCCAATGCCCAAGAGATGGATAAGAAGAACCATCTGAATGAATAAGAAGCTCTGTTTTAAAATAAAAATTTGAAGGATTCTACTTGTTTTCCAAAGATGAAAACAGGTTAGAAAGGAGTTGAAAACAATGAATGTAAAAGATCTTGTCCCGAAGAACAGAAACAGATGCATTAAGCTCTTAAGTCCGTGAAGCACACCTAAACCATAGTTTCAGCAACCTTTGAACTGTTATTATAGGATTGAAAACCAAGAAATATGCACTGGAAGGTTCCCCAATAAAAAGATTTGGGAACTCCCCTGGGTACCCGGTGGCTCGGTCAATGCACTCTCTTACATGGTGGTTAGTCCAGACCTAAGGTAGCACTATCCTAAGACTGAGGGGGAAGGCAGTGGTATAGTATAAGCATAATAAGGTCTGGCCTCAGGCCAAAAAGGTGTAAAGAAATGACTTAGTGCAACAGAGCAAACAAAGCAATGTTTGAAGGTGATTGCAAATCACATGAGCCATATTTAAGAATAAATGAATCCATAGAAACAATGAGACTTGCTACCATTGATTATATGGAGTGTATTACCTATGCCGTGAAAGCACTTCATCAAGGGTTTCGTCCTTCTTTTGTGGTTCTTTGCCTGAAATCACTCCTTCATGCGCCTTATTTTCCAATTCTTGGGTGTCCTCCATCAGAGCAACCCTTAAAACCAACAACCATAGCTAAAGAAATAAACTACAGGAAAACTGCAATTTTAATTCGATATGAACATTAAATATCAATTGGCACCCTCAATTATACTGCTATAAAGACTCCTGACCTTTCAACAAGACAAACACAGAAGTGAGATGGATGTTTGAGGGGCGGAGATCACACATTCAAAAAAAAATAATTATTCAACATTGCAACCACAGTACCATTACAAACCCAGTTGGAATTGAGCACAGCAGAATCTGAGTTTTCTAAGTATTAAAAACTACTCAGAAAAATTTTGGGCAGGGGATATATAGAAAAAGTATAATCTCTAAATATTACCAGATTCCAGAGCGTCAATATTCAAACGATTACACAACCAGATTCAAAGCCAAATTAAAATGACGCGGGGAACAAAACCAAGCCTAGATGCAAAGCCAGATTGAACCAATCCATCTAACCGGATATTGGGAGTCGAAAAAGCCCTAGGGTTCGAACCTTTTTTGATACTCGCCGGAGAGCAACGACGCAGGGGTGACAGCGGTAGACGGCGTCGAATGGAGTGTGGAAGGCTTATTCGCAGAGACGCAGACCAAGAAAAGTGAATGCGTCAGTCACGAGATCATATTTTGTAAGGGCTATAATTAGGGGGTGTTTGGGCAGCGAATGAATTCGTAAAAGTACTTTTAAAATCATAATTTTGAGAGATATTTCATAACTCTCAAAAGTACTTTTCAGAAGTACTTTTCCACAAAATAAGACAAACTCATTCGTATATTTACTTCATAAATTGTAAAAATATTTTTAAAATTATAGTTTGGTTTTTATCTAAACACCCATTGATCTTACCCAAACACTTTTTTAATTTTGGCCTGTAACCGGCTTTCCTCCTCGCCTCACCGTTCTTTTCCCCTGCACTACCCAAAATTACAACTTTTTGGGCGTAAAAATGGAGGTTCGGCATTTTTTTTTTCAAAGCCAATATCCATATATACACAGTATTTTAAAATAATTTTTAGTATACTTAATATTAATATTTTTAGGTGTCATGTGCACTAAAAATTATTTTAAGATACTTGATGTTAGTAAAAAATATTTTTGAGTGAAATATTACTGCCTACTACAAAAAATACTGCAAGTCCAATTTGTAAATACTGGATGCTACTAAAAAATATTTTAAAATGTCATATATATTAAAAATTATTTTAAGATACTGCGTACTACTGAAAAAAATTAAGTGATGAATATTGATTTGGAAAAAAAAAAATGACAAGCGTCCATTTTTTTTCGCACCCAACAGAGGAGGGGAAGAGGGCCGTAAAAGAAGAGGAGGAAAGCCGGTCCTGGTCTGGGAGAATCTGGTATCGGTCGGAAATTAATTTCTCAAATACCAAAATTAATTAAAAATCATTTTATTAATTTATACTGGATCCCACTCAAAAAAAAATGTAGAGAGAGGTCAATTTCTTTTAAGCTAATAAGGAGCCCATTATCACAAAAAGGGAGGCCCATTTTGTATAAGGGCTTAGATGGTTCTCTATTTACTAAAATAAGTATACCAAAAAAATGATTGACGAAAGTAAGAATTCCGGCTCATTTCAAATGTTTTCTTGCTTTTCTTTTTTCTCCCTTCTATTTTCTTGCGAGCAAAAGCAAGATAAAATTAGAAAAGAAGAGTTTTTACATAGATAAAAATTTAGGCACAGTTTTATATTTTCGTTTATTGAAAATTTTTCATAATATTATTTTAATAGATAAGCATATTACAATTTAGTATCATGCGATTAAATGTTACAATAAATTTTTATGCATAGTATACTTTTATCAAAAGATCATTCAAGAGATATAATAAATTATATCAAAATATAATTAGTTTTATAATATAAAACACGTGATTGAATGTCAAGAAACACGCCTCAAACCTTTTTATTTAGAAATCTTACTATAAAGTATGGGTTAAGATTCAATTTTATCCGAAAGCTTTTACATAAGAGTTATGGGTATCTAAAAAAAAATTTTTTAAGATCAATATGGCCTCAAAGGTCAAAAATATAAGAAGGAAGCAAATTCGCCCTAACCATTAAAAAAATAACATTGACCGTTAACGTTTTTTATGGGTATGGGTGAGATTATTGCTCCTTTTTTGACAATTTCTGGGCAATATTGATTCAGGGAGGGACAAAAAACCCTTCCTCCAACCAAAAAAAGAAAAAACTTCCCAATATCCACAGCTCTTGCATAAAAACTTTATGAAGCAAAATTTGACCTTAAACCGAAGACTATAAATAAAAAAAAAAGATCTTATCAAGAGTGTGACTCTAAGTATAAATTCCAAGGTTTCGAATGGCATTATATTTCCCTATTGAGTTTGTGTGCGGTGACGGAAGGAATATCTAAATATGTAGGATTTCAAATTGAGTTTCACTATTAGAGCATGTTGCAGCCCATCACGGTTGGGAATATTGAACAGTAAAAAAAATTATACCTTATCCTTCCATCAAATCATCTCTTTCAAGTTGACATCCATTTCCGCTGAATAATTTGGTGCTTTCCATTCTCATAAATGATGTCAAAGAACCCTTACGTTCTGGATATGCTTCCTCACATATATATATCCCACGATTCTCAATCACGAACCTCAAAATGATTAAGCCAACCGGGGGGGAGAAAAAAAAAGGCCTTTATACTCGCAAAGTTATTATAAACTCATCAACCCCAAAAAAAAAAAAAAATCAGTCCATATCTAATCGGGATGACCATCCCATGTTTTAGAGTTCAGTTTTTCTAAGTTGTCCAGACGTTCTTGCAGTCAAAAGAGATAAAAATATGGCCGTCAGTATTCAAATCCTGCCGAAAGTTTGATAGCTTTAAACTAAAGTCAATTCCGATCCCATACATTATTATATAAGCTGTGAGTTTTATATTATATTTTAATTTAATGATTTGATTCTCCCAAGTTGAACAGTGTACGTGCGCGTGTGTGAGAGGGATTTGTTTTCATACACTCCTTTTTCTCTGCATCTCTATTTAATTTCAAACGATCAAATTAACTAAGTCAGTGATCAGAATTTACTGTAAGAAATTCTAGACGATTCTTGTAACTTCATTACTAAACAATTACCAGTACTTCTTTCTTAAAAAAAATATTTTCTGGGATTCCATGAATCTGATGCGAGAGACGAAAGGAGCAGTGGGACAGGGATACATTGGATAAACTCTATCTTTCTCCGGATGACGAGCCACGCAACCCACAGAACCATTCAGCAGAACCTGCATAGCTAAGCTAGCTTGGTGTTATATGGTAAGAACACATGTCAATAATGTGTGAAGATCACCAATAAATCACCCAATATATTATCTAAGGTTAAAGAAAACAGTAGCATAACCATCGTTTTCTTTATTGATTCTCTTTGTTTCGTAATTTGTTCTGGTTCGTTTCCCTTTTAATGAGATATGGGATGCTGATCTATCTACGAGAGATATATATAGCATGCAAATGATAGGCTTAGCTTGGACTTTGTAAATATAAAGGTTCCCTCCCTCTTCTAGGCCTTTGACTTTGGCCATGTATAATTCCCTATTGGATATTGGATTCCACACTCTCAGTGGCAGATTTGATCGACAACGCAGCATTGTTATTTGATCTCAAACATGCTAGCATATACACTCATGTTACATAGAATAATATGTGCTTTGATGCTCCGAACTTGGCCGAAAGAGAGTTTTCCCCCCCATCTATATAACAATAATATATGCGTTGTTCTAATCCAAGGTTCTTATTCCGGCATTGATCTCTTTCTACCGCCACCCCTCAAGAACATTTCAATTATCATACACAGTAAAGCCTGAGATGCTAAAGCATCAACCTGTTCATTCCTGGGGTCACCATGATCAATTCTGCAGGGGCATTCCTCTTATCCAAACCATTATCGCGAAAGCTACTTTTCTTCCCTCTTTCTCTCTCCTATCTCTTTAACCGTTACTTAATGCTATCCACTTCCTCACACCAGCCCCTATAAATAGGATACATGCGCTTGTTTAAGTCCAGCACAGCTAGAAACACTCACCAATCAAGTTTCATATATATATATATATATATATATATCATTCTGCAGAAACTAGCCAGACGGCAGCAGGAAGGTATGGATAGAGTGAAGGATTTGGCGTCAAAGAAAGCAGCAGTGATATTCACCAAGAGCTCGTGTTACATGAGCCACAGCATTAAGCAGCTGTTCTACGAGCTAGGAGCAAGCCCTGCAGTGCATGAGCTTGACAAGGAACCGTATGGGAGGGAAATGGAGTTGGCTTTAAGGGCTCTGGGTTGCAACCCTTCAGTCCCTGCGGTGTTCATAGGTGGCAAGTTCGTGGGTTCTGCAAGAGACATCATTTCTCTTCATGTTGATGGCACTCTCAAGCAAATGCTCATTGATGCTAAGGCCATATGGTTTTAGCTACCCACTTGCACTACTACTCCTAAAGACTATATATACATAAAGAAGCCGAGCTCCGTGCACATAAATATATATATATATATATATATATATCTACGTCGTATATACTACTAATACCATATATGGGTCTCTGCAAGTATATACTATATCCATGGAGCTCTGTCTTGTAAGAATGTTTTAGAGTCAAGCTTAGCTAGGGACACTCTTGCTTTTTCTCGAGTGTCCCGTTTTGATTGTATGCAAAGACATGATACAAATCGATACAAAAACAGTGCTTTTTTTTTTTTTGGGTATATATTTTCTGCAAGTCAGATAGTAAGGTATAACTACTCTTACAGTCAATTAATTACTTGATGATCTCGCGCTAAAGGTGATATCGTTGAACAATGATATAGTTAGTATAATAATGCAGCTTTGAAGTCTTGAGATATTCATCTTTGATTATACTAAAGCCTTTAAAAAACATGCTTCAGCGACACACTTCATCCGACTTCATGCATTGTTCAATATGCCCACGCAATTATTAAGAGATGGAATAATAGCTAGTAGTCCTCAAATCACCTTTAGTAAATAATTATAAAAGGAATCTTCTGCGTCATCAAATATCTAGCCAATCTATGGAAAACATATAAAATACCATTTTTTTTAAGTGAGTAGTAAAGAGAAAAGTAGGTAGATGCTGTTCTTCACTTCCTAATTGGGGCATCTGGTGCAAGGGGATGGTCTTATTTAAATTCGTAGGCATGATTTCAATTTTTGTGGCTAAGCTTCAGAAAAAGAGGTGATGCTGGAACTTTTTGTTGTGTCTCTTTGTTTATTCTTCGATGCCCATAAAGCCCAATGACACGTTTCCCGTTCGACTTTATTTTCCTTCTACACTATAAATAGATATGATATATATTCAGGGCATCGTTTTATAAACTAAATTATCGAAAACCGAAAGCGTGAATGAGGACGAGGAAAAATCTTGGGTTACATTAAAATCGTCGGACTAAAAAGGAAATGTGTGTGTATTTATATATATTAAAAAAAAACAGAAGTTATATAAGTACTCAATGTTTTACTAGTTTAAGTGAAAAGACAATGTATATAAATCCCACTTAAGATATTTTTAATTTTCACGAAATATCTAAAAGAAAGGTCCAGTGAAAATTATACTGAGATTCTTCAAACTCTAATAACGACATGCATGCACAGCATGGATGATTTATATATCGTTGTGCATATACTTGATGTATATCGACGTACGGACAGAAAAATATAGTAAATAACAAGTGAAAAGCATATACGTGTTCAAAATAATGTTTGAATATTAGTACATACAAGTCTATAGACAATGTCTTATAAATAGGACTGGAGGTAATATATTGCTGTGTTCTAAATCTAATGGGTCTTTCTTCCTCAGAAGTATCAGTTTTTCGGTGCTCATGATTTATGCATCCTTTTGCATATACTCGATGTATGCACAACATGGATGATTTTAACCGTCGGAATTCTTTGAACTCTAGTAACTACATGCATGCACAGCATGGATGATTTATATATCCTTGTGTGTATACTTGATTTATATCGACATATGGACAGAAAAATATAGTAAAGAACAAGTGAGAAGCATATACATGTTCAAAATAATATTTGAATATTAGTACATATTACCTCTGGTCCTAATTACAAAATATTGTTTATAGTCTATAAACGAAGTCCTAAAAATAGGACCGGAGGTAGTATATATATTGCTGTGTTCTGAATCTAATGGGTCTTTCTTCCTCGGAAGTGTCAGTTTTTCAGTGTATTACATGAAATATTCATGTCCCAGATGATCAGGGAGGCTCTCTGAGTGGTAAGGAAAAACATACTTCAATTCATTAATTTGTGGGATCGTGTTATACGGTGAGGGAATTCATTCCCTCCTCTTCTCAAGGAAAAAGGGCTGTTGTGCTCTCCAACCCTTCCCTTTCACCAAAACAAGACCTTCCACTCCAGTCATACACGTGTAAGGTCATCCACAAATGGGAGTACACCATAATACACACCCACACACACAAACTCTCTCCACACATCATATATAAGATACATATCTTCCGAAGAATAAAGTTGGTCCCATTTATAAGGTGTAACGTCATCAGAATATCAAATGATTTTCCTTTTTATCCCTACAATTTAACAATAATATCGCAACTTATTAATGAACCAAGATTTTATAATCTCTTTCATACAAAGACAAAGGTGAATAGGGGTGTAATTGGAATACATGAATGTTTTTGGACAAATAAACACGTGCAACGTTTCCTAATAATCTGCATGAAAATGTCCAAAAGCTTCTTATAATAACGAATGGAGGGAATGTGTGTGTGTGTGTGTGTTTTGTAGCATCATCTTGGTAGAATCCCACAACCTGCTTGTGGGAGAGAAGGAATCAGGCAAGTTGTTTGAGTGCAAGTATAACATCTCAGTCACAATCTTTCTGCGTAAATATTCAAAGCAGTCGATATATTGAGAATCTGTTTGACCAACTATGGCCTAGAGTTTCTACTTTCCTTGCCTTTTCAGAGAGAGCTAGCATCGGTGAATAAGTAGTACACGTCTGCCATAAATTATAACTATGATTAACTAACTTGTTACATAGGAAAATACTGTTTTGATCATTCCGTGTTTAACAAACTAACCTCCAAACTATATGTCGTCTAGCAATGCGTGTAAATTGAGTGTGATCTCTTCAAGATTCCAACTGGCCTAGTCAATCAGATTCATATCAATGCTGATCTCAAAGGGTTTTGCTTTATACTACTGGAGCATCTAAATCACTAAAGCTGGCACAGCCTTTTACATGCTCTTCCGTTCAAAGATCCCTAAGTAGTCCCTATAAATAGTCTTGGACTCCCAAGTTTCCTCCTTATAGGCATTCAAATCCTGACCAAACTCAACCATTGGACCGACTTCGATTCGATAGGTGTGATGGTTTTCGGTTTCTAAGCAAGTGCAAAGATAACCTCCCATCAACTCACACCTACCTAGCTAGTAGCTTAGCTTAATTCTCCAATTCTAGGGTTTGTGTGAACATATTGTTAAAAAAGATATGGAGAAGGTGACGATGTTGGCGTCGGAAAAAGATGTGGTGATATTCAGCAAGAGTTCATGCTGCCTGTGTCACTCGGTGAAAGTTCTGTTTCAACAACTGATGGTGAGGCCCAAGGTTTATGAAATAGACCTTGACCCTGAAGGCAGAGAAATGGAGAAAGCTCTGGTGAGTCTGGGTTGTTCAACCCCTGTGCCTGCCGTTTTCATCGGAGGCATTTTCGTGGGCTCCACCAACCAGGTCATGTCCCTCCACCTCAGCGGAGCCCTCGCCCAACTCATCCAACCTTATAAACAAGCTTAACCCCCTTCACCAGTTCGCGCTGCACAATAACACACAAATATTCCCATCTACACGCGTGTGTGTGTGTTCCTCCTACCAATAAGCTCTCTGAAAAGTCTGTGTAGTATTCTGCGTTTTTATGTTTGATTATATATATATATATATATATATATCACTTTCTCTGTAGCAATTTAGCTATAGTTTAATCTCTTGGTATATTATATTCTATATGGAGTTTCATTTATAAATCCTGAAAGTTGCACCATTATATGTTTATGTAATCTCAAGAAGCTCCGCCTCTTCTTCGTTTACTTTCCTTCTCTACCTGTTTTCGGTAATAAATTAATGACTTGGAAGTATCTAGTGTGAGCTTCAAATCATGACATGTAAATATCTCCGAAGCAAATATGAACAAAGGGGGAAAAAAACAAGCGGTAAGAAAACACATTAATTAAAAGATTGATTGCAGTGCAAATGCAGTGATATAATCTTCACTCCGTGTATTAGGGAACCAGTTTCGGTGCCCATATCACTTTGATGAGCACCTTAAGCTCATCAGATCTATATTGGTTATATCTCATTTGGATGGTCCAGATTTATTTTTTTAATTTTTATTTATTCAATGATTATTTTAATATGTATAAAATTTAAAATAAAAATAATCTCTTAACTATCATTCTTTCAAAATCTGATAAATTTAGAGTTTTTATCAAGATGATGAGCGCTGAAACTGGTTCTGTGTATTAGTAAATAACATTAAGCAGCTGAAACGGTATTAATAGAGTATGCCTTGTTAATTAACTCTACAATATCCAATCACATCTTTACAGTGATGAATTGCAAAACTTAACATGTTCTGGTAGCTTAATAAAGACCGGGAAAACATATTTTTCTCCCATATCTTTGGAAAGTAGAAAAACTACTAGAACAATAAGGTATAGGGCTTCTTTACTGATGATGGCCAGAAATTGCCCCGAAAAAAAAATAATAATAATAAAGAAAGCGATTTGCATAAGCCGAAGAATATTGAAGTCCTAAAGGATGCTTGATGAATTATGAACTACTTTATCCAATCTTTCTGCGTTGATCGTGTGCTGAAAAGTTAGTAGGGAAATTCGTATATTTTCTCTGCACACACAAGGTGCGGCCAAGAGATTCTTCAGCTTTATCCCCATCCCATAAAGAAGGGTATCGCATTCTTCGCTTTTCTTTCAACTTCCATTTACTTATTCTCTTCCCGTCCCCGCTAACCCCACTCAATATTATGCTGTTACAGCGTTACTGAGGTGTTTATTAGGGCTCGCCATTTAAGAAAAATGCGTACAATATTCAATAAAGAGTGCTTAATTAATGACGTAACTAACAAATTACCGGTTATTATATTTATGAAAATGCTATCAACATGCTGTTGAAGTATAAAATGACCTGCTTCAAATTACATGTTAAGAGAGAGATTATTGACACGTAATATAGTATCAGGTCCCATTTTATTACGAGACCTGGCTGATATGTCACAAGTGCTGGCTCCATAATTTTGTACTATAATTCTCTAATTACCACCATCGATTCTTAGTATAAAAACTACTCTTCCGATCTTTAATAAAAGATCTAATTAATTAATTTAAGTAGATGTTAGTTAAATTAATAAATATGACATGTTTTTCCTAAAACACTTTAAACATATTTCTTAATTCCATTCCTTCCTCTCCTAAATAATTATTGTTAGGAGAATGTCAATAGGGCTAATTTGAAAAAAAATTAATAAACATGTAAAATAAGTTTTATATATAGAACCAATATCAACTCCCTAATTAGCTTCTATATTGAGGACCAGAGGAGTAGTTGATTAATTTGAATAGATTAAAAATGTTTGTTAAGTTAGTTATTGTAATAAATATGAATTATCTCTCCCAAAATATCCTTGTTAATCATGTGTATTAGATATTTGATAAAACTTTTAACATATGCAGGAACTATAAGGATTGTTTTGAAAAAATAAATAAATATGAAAGACAAAATAAATTGGTGTCTTATATTTAAGATCAAATTGAATGTTAAACTACCTCTTACATTAAGGACAGAAGGTAGTGCTTTATAAAACATCAATACTGATCAGTTACATGTTTGGTTTTATCTTGAAAATAATTAAAACCATAATTTTGATTATTTGTAATTAGAGGCCAAATAATTGATGATGATTAGTTAAAACTAGATGACAATGCATATATATGTCTTACAGAATTTGATTTTTTTGTGAGGGAACCTGCTAGAGTAAGCGATTACGTCAAGAGATTAATTGGTCCCCTATATATCTCTTACATTCTCTCTAAGATGCTTGGGTTCGACGCTAGCAGATGTGACATTGCAGTGCGTTTTTTGATTTGAGTGCTCAAAAATGAAATTTGCATGTCAGAATCTTCAATCGTGACTAAGCGATTTCTTGTGTGGTCGGACCAATAAACACATGAAACAGCCGCCATCGGTCTCGTGTGTTCACGGATGATTTAGAAAGCGTATTTTGGCACAAGGGAAGTGAAGGGGAAAAAATTTCAATGAGCTTGATCTAATAAATATTGAAGAAGTGGGGTCATCAAATTTTAATTAAAAATACGTAAGATAAAATTATGAGAAAAATTAATTAAAAATTTTTAAACCTATTTTTTTAACTTTTTAAATCGAGCTTAATAATTATTTTTTTGTTTGTTATTTTTCTTGTACCAAACTGAACTTTAATATCAGTATTCTTTCTTTAAAAAAAAGTTTACACAGTCAAACTTTATATTATGTTGGAGCTCCGATACCATGGTAGCACTAAAAAAAATGAGAAGATATTGCAGATAAAAATTATATGTATTCTGAGATAAGATGGGTATATCAATTACCTATAAGAAAAAAATAATAAATCCAAATAAATAATAATAATAAACACAGGAATAAATACACATCAAATCATGTAAATAAAATATATATCTAATAACAAGGTAGAAGAAAATGATTCAAAGAAAAAAAAAGGAAGCAAACAAAAAAATGTAGTCCAAACAAAAGTAGAAAAGGGACGGACACATATAAGTTTTTTCGGTAAAAACTAAACGTCCGTTTGAAACAACTTATAAGCAGCTTTTCAATAATGATTTACAAAACACAAGGTAAATATATGAGAAGAGTTTTGCTTTCGTAAAACAAGCTTATTGGAGATTTTCACTGTTCTACCAAATAGAGCCTGAAAAACTTCGGAAAACAATGTAGGAATGTAGGAAAGAAGCAAGAAAGGTCATCAATCCCTCTATTCCTTGATAAACCATAAATGCGCCCTGTGACCAAATTTAATATTCTGCAGTCCCCAAAATACAGGCACCTCTCTCAAGGGCACTTGTAGTTTCAATTTATGCCTATTCACATCCAACTGTATGACATATAATTCCCTAATTCTTCTATAGACATCTACGGAAAGTGCCGCCGATTTGGATCGGCTCTGCAATTGAAGCTATGACCAATAATTTCGTATCATGTTTAGGAAGATGTATTTTTAAGATAATCTATAATTCCGTTTCAGTTCTCGAAGACTGTAAAGAAGAGGAGAGTGAAGTTTAGGTTCTTTGATTGTTTCATTAGCTGGGTGAAGCTTATTACAGTTATGAGTATGAGATCTGAAGGGTTAAAAAACAGTTTAAACCATGGGTGATAACATTTCAGTTTAATTAAAACCGAAGAAATAAAATTTCATATCAGACGTCAGCATTCCATTTTGTTTCGCATGGGACCACAATGCGAAGAAGGGCTTAGACTGGGCTGTTAATCTCCGGAGAGGATGGATGGTTTGTTTTTGGGTTATGTATGGGCCTTGTTAATACTTATTGGGTCAATTTGAGGCCCAAATTTGGCTTGTCAAGCCCAAACAGATACCATTGCGGGAATTACAACAAAGAGCCAACTGGGAATCGAAGTGATCCCGCGAAGGTCACAAGCCCCGAATTCTGATCTCAAGTTTTCGCCCTACACGCGGCTTCTGCATCAACTGATTGATGTTAGCTCCTTGAGCCTTTTGGCTGATCCATTTCTGTACCGTTCATTTCCTGGATGGTAGCAGAATCCAAATTTAAGGCTCATTTTATAAGTCAAAGACATTCCTCATGTGGTGGCTTCAGCAGCAGGGACTTAATTAATAATCACCCACTCATAAAATATTTTAATTCTTGACGTAAAAATTTCTCAACTTTACCAGATATTTTATTAAAACATTCGAAATTACATTGTTAGACCTTTTCTTCGCAAACTTGAAAATAATCACCACCTTTTTTTTATTTTGGTCAGAGTTAAAAATATTTTAACTATAGGGAAAGGTGAATATTAAATTCTTACAAAACCTTGGGTTTTGATTTTAAGTATTTTATTGAAATAATTGTTAAAAAAGTTTTTTTTTAAGTTGTAACTTTTAACATCTACAACTAAAATATCTTAAAATATTTTTTCCAAGGTAAGATAGTAGTTATTTATTTTAAAACTTAAAAATATTTTAATTGTAATGATTACATTTAATAATGTGCGGGTTAACACCTCCCATTAGGGGTGTTCAATTTGTCCCGTCCCGGTCCCGGTGAGTTCAGGATGGGACGGGACGGGACAAAAAAAATTTCGGGACGGGATGTGGGACGGGGTCGTCCCGTCCCGAAATTTTTTTTTCTTTTAAAAATTATTTATTAAAAATTATTATTAGATTATTCAATTTACCTATTAATAATAACTCTTATTTTTATGGTGATTTGTAGCTCTTAAGTTGTAGTATTATCTCAACAAAATCTCCTTCCTCAATAAAATAATTCATAAGGTCATTATATAGTGTTTTTTTTACGGTATTTTTTTTACACTATTATTTTTACACCTCTTTTATGCTATATAATTAAGCTTTCTACATAATATTTTTTCATAATGTTTTTATCTTTAAAAGCCCAGTAAAAAATAAGTATTATAACATAAAAAAATTCATATAAAAAATTATGGTATCTTTTTTTTTTTAAAAAAAAGGGGAAGCGGGACGTCCCGGTCCCGTTCCGGTTCCATCCTGGTACCGACGGGACCGGGACACGGGACAAAATCCCTGTCCCGTCCTTGTTCACCGGGACGGGACCAGGACGGGCCTGTCCCGGTCCCGTCCCGTCCCATGAACACCCCTACCTCCCATTACCTTTTTAATGGCGTCAAATATTAGGTTAACTTCGCCCTGCATATCAAATGTTAGGGTTAATATAATATTCGATCTTTTAAGTTTGCTCTTATTTTAATTTTGGTCCCTCATAATTTAAATTATATGTTTTAATCCCCCAAGGGGCAAAATAGCTTAAGTTTTTATTAAATTATAGGGATTAATATTATAAATAAAAAGAAACTTGAAAGATCAAAATCAAAATACAGACAAACTTGAGGAATCAAAGTTTGTATTAACCCTAAATGTTAAAACAATATTATAAAATTAAAAGAAAATAAAGGTTCAAAATGAAATTTAATTGAAAATTAAGGGTACTAAATTAGATCCTTTTGCCCTTTTTTTTTTTTTTTTAAATATGCAGTCAAAAGGCAATATTTTTAATAATGATAATCCCAATCTTAATCTGATCTGCCACACAATACGCGCAGAATAACATTTTATTTATTGATTTATGAATAATTTCTAAATAATGAATGAGATAAATTTAATAATCTGAAAGCACTAATTCACATAGTAGTTGAAAGAAGATAACTATCATTTATCACCGTAATACTATCCTATTTGAATTTGAGCTTGTTTAAATCTTTTTATTTAATCTTGGAGCTCTTCAACGCGTCATTCTTTCATGGTCATCCCTCTTCTATTTTTTATTCTTAAAGCTCCCTCAACACTTCATAGTTCATTCATTTATGATTACTTTCTGTCTCTCATAAAAGTTCAAGAAGTGCAGGAGTCAGCTATCGTACATTCTCATAGGTAAGTCAGGGCGACTTTCTCTATTTCATTTTTTTCCCTTCCATGTTTTTCTCTTCGGTTGAAGGTTTAGCAGATATGTTTGAATTTTTTGACAGTTTTTTAGCTTTATAAAAAATATGTCCCATTTTTTCCCCTTATGATTTGTGGGTTCGACAATATATTCTGTTTGAGCTATTGTTAAACAAAAGGCTTTTTTTAAAAAAAATTAATTATTCAATTCTTATATAGTCTTGACTTATAGGGATGAAAATAGGTTAAGTCAGGCTAGGTTTTAACTAAGTAGACCTAGCCTATCTACTAAATAGGTTAGGCTAGACTTTGTGTAGGTTAGGCCGTAGTAGACTCCTGCCTAATATATTTCCACTCCTATTGACTTGAAAGGACTAATAAATTTGATTGACTAAGTTATACATAATCAAACTTTAAAAACTTAGCCGTAACAGAGTCAAAACTTTAAATTTCATTTATATATATTTTTAGTTTATTAAAATTCAAGTAGTATACCCAGTATATATATTATGCAGTATTTCTGGATTTTATTATTTTTTTCTCACACTAATAAAACGAAATGCTTCAATCACATAAATAACACATATATAGTGAAGAGCCATATAGTGTACCTTTATGTTTTATAGGATGAGTTCTTTTTTCAATGTCTATTTTTTTCACAGCAGCTTTCTTTTAATATCTTGATCTATAATACATTACAGCGTGAAAAACTTGCGATGCCAAATTTATAATAATTACACATTCTACATGTATGGTGCATTATATTTACTCTGATCACAATATTTATGATCAGTTTTTTTTTCTTCTCTTTTTGTGTGTATAAAATAATACAGAAAAGCGCTGCTTGATTTATATCGCTCAACTGAAAATGCCCCACCGATTAACTCTCGAAGATTTTAAAGGCAAGGAACTGAAAAATGGAACCCCCTTAGAAATTCTGATACATGTCTTGGAAGTTGCTGCTGAGAAGTTTAAGGAGGAAGAAACTGCTAACGGCAATTCAACATGCACTAAGCCTACCTTGATCAGCAACGAGTCATCTCGTGCTGATGAGAAGATCCAAGTCCAACCACCACTGGAAAAATCTTTGCTGGTGCTGAAACATAGCAATTCGAAAACGAAACTGGTTGATTCAATGAAAAATGAAGAATGGGTAAATTGTCTGACGAATAAGAAGACCAAGAGGGAAGAAGAAGAAGATGATGATTCAAGTACTGCTGCTGCATCATTGTCAAGCTTGCCAGAAGAATTTCAAAGGGAAATTGCTGTGAGATGTGGCGGATCAGAACCAGATCGATTGTTTCGTCTCATCAGAAAGACTTTAACCAAAACAGATATAAGTAAAGGACATGGCAGACTCACCATTCCTTGCAACCAGATACAGAGTTTTGAGTTCTTGGAAGACGATGAGATTACATTACTTAGGCAAAAAGAAACCATTAGAGTGCCATTGATTCATAAACCGAAAAAGAATAATGGGGTGTCTGATCCTTCTCTTACTGAGACGATACTAAAATTTGGACAGTGGAATTTGCATGCAAACAAAGATGATCCAAGGAAAGTGAGCTCACAATATGTATTGAATGGTGGCTGGAACAATATAGTCTCTGAAGACAGACTCAAACAAAACAGAACAGTTGAGGTCTGGGCATTCAGAGATATTCAAAACAGGCTTTGCATGGCACTTGTTCAGCTTGGACGGTGAAAGGAGGCAACAAATTGGAACAGTATAATTACGGAGCTGATTACTTGGATTAATTTTTTTATGGTCATTATGTCAAATTTTCCAATCACATATCGTTATATGTCTTTTTTTTTTAATGTGTGATTAGAAAACTCGATATAATAAACATAAGTAACTTGATTTAAGTATTGTTTTATAATTATTTCAAGATTTAGTATTCGATTTTTATAATTTTTGGCACTTCTTAAATTTATGAATATACATTAGTTTCAAAGTTATTATGGAAATTTTAATTTTGAAACCATGTATTAGATAAGTGTCTCTAATAGATGCTTGATGTTTATATTATTCTCATCTTGCTCTTCAGTTTGAGTCTTCAGGAAACTACCAATCCTACGTGATTCCTTTCCCATATAACCCTACAAAACACTGCATATGTCTTTTGTTTTCAATTTCTAGTTTTTGTCAGCAAAGCCAAATAACCTTCAAGAATCAAAGTTTCTAAAATAGTTGTTTAATTAAAAAAAATCACGACCATTCAAAGTTCTTCTGTTTTTTAAGAAGCTAATTTTTGTCAACTTCACAAATTCTTAATAAGATAAATTAACTCTCCTGGCCAATTGATCTTCGTCGTCAGACAAATCAAAATTGAAATTGATTGATAAATTATTCAATTGAAATAATTGTTTATAAAGTATTTATATTGGGCCATCGAATATCTTCCATGCTTATATTTTGCTTATGCAGCTCTTCCTATTAACATATAAAAATTATATTATTCAATAAATTGGTCCAAACTCTTAGGCGAGATAATTTTTACTTTATATATATATTACAGTAAAATACTAAATAAAAATAAAAATCAATGAGACGAGATTATATATAAAATAAAAAATGCAAAGATATGTCCAGCATAAATCTTTGAATGATATATAAAGATTTTCACTTAAAAAATCAGTACATATAGGGAGATATTTGATATAAGATAAATTTGTTGCAAATATGCTTTATCTCCCCAAAGCACAAATTTAATTTTCAAAAAGAGAAGAATTAGATACAAAATCTTATATACTTGACACATTTGTATCTTTTTTTTTCAGATTGATATATTTGTATCCAATCAAATCAGATGAAGTGAATTTTAAAGTATTAATAATATTAGTTACACTAATTTGTTTATAGAGAATAATAATTAATGTATAAAAAAATTCAAAATTTCAAATGCCTTAATTTGAATGGGGTTAAGATGCATTCAACATCTCCAAATATTTTTTCAGGTGCATCTAGCACCTTAAAGTATTTTATGATGTATTCAGCACCTTAAAATATTTTTTTTATTGAATGCATCTAAGAAAATACTTTGAAGTACTGGATGCACCTTACCTCTAAAACTTTTAATGAGACTTTGACCTAGTTATTTAATTATAATTTATTTTATTTTATCAAAAAAATTATAATTATAATTTATAATAATAATTAATATCAAAAGCCCGTTAACATGAAAAAAAACGAAGGGTTAAAACTAAAACAACGTCTTAAAATTACGGCATGACGATTGCGGCAGCATCTCAATATGTTGGCCCTATTCTGATTTCTGGATGAATATGAAATTATGATTTTAAAAATATTTTTATAGTATAAGGTAAATATGTAAAAGAGTTTTTGCGAAAAAGTGTTCTTGAAAAAGTACTTTTCTGTCCTGTTAAACACCCCTAAATTGGTTGCCGTCGTCCTCTTCGCCCCCTACCCCCAATCGATGGAAGACCCTACAACGCAAAACACAGAGCGCTTTGGAATTTTGCAGTATGGGTAATTTCACCCTCGCAACCTCTGCAATGTTTGGATTCTTGTGTTGATTTCTGTTGCGTTCCTTGTTTATGTTTTTCCCCCGCTTTAATGTTCTTGCCCTGTGTCTAGATGCGAGCACTACAAGAGAAGGTGCAAAATTCGAGCTCCATGCTGTGACCAGATCTTCCCATGTCGCCACTGCCACAACGACGCCATGGTCTCTTCTCCCTTGTCCTTTCTTATGTTTATACCTTCACTTATATTCATTTCTAGATTGTGTATCTTGTCCGTTCTTTTGTATTTATACCTTAAGTTTTTTTCATTATTTGAAATGAAATCGGTTGTGTTTGTGATAAAGAGCTCGCTTGACAACCCCAAAGAGCGCCATGAGCTGGTCAGGCGTGATGTTAAGCAGGTAAGAAGCTCGCCTTTGCTTCTTTTTCCTTGCCCTGCCTTAAATTATTTACATTTTATATACTTTTTCAATGTTTTATTTGTCATCGGTATTGACTTTAAAACATGGTCGCGAGTTGGGTTTATTTCAGGTTATATGTTCAGTCTGTGATGCTGAGCAGGAGGTAATTAATGCCTTCTTTTATTGTGATTTACTTAGCAGAATTGACTCTAATTAGCTTCTAATTTTTCTATCACTTCATAATTCAGGTTGCTAAAGTGTGTTCTAATTGTGGTGTCAACATGGGGGAATATTATTGCGAGATTTGCAAATTCTATGACGATGATGTAAGATGCCCCCCCCCCCGGGGGGAGATGAGTTATCTAGAGTCTCGATGAAGCGAACTACACTGAGGTTTCATTACTTTATCTTTTTTATCCCCGTTTGAATTATTGTTTCTATTGTTGCAGACAGATAAAGGGCAATTCCATTGCGAGGAATGTGGTATTTGCAGGTTAGTAATCATGCACTCACATGGTGAGATGACAAATTGAGTTTAGGATCACTGTGATTAAGGTGTATTGTTTAAAACATTTTCTTATGAAATGTTGAACTGTTTGTCATGACAAACTTTGTTATTTTTAGGGTTGGTGGTCGTGATAACTTCTTTCATTGTCAGAAATGCGGTGCGCCCTCTTACCAACACTGTGCTTGCTTCTTGGTTTTTATGAATATATTATTAAATCTTGTGTTGTAAGTACAGGATCGTGCTATTCAGTGGAACTGAAAGGCAAGCACTTTTGTGTAGAGAACTCAATGAAGAGCCAGTGCCCTGTCTGCTATGAGGTTTGTACTTTGGCTCTTTCAGTTGCTCATTTTCCCAGAACCATCGTGATTAAATCTTTTTTCTGACAGTATTGTTCTCTTATAGTATCTGTTCGATTCAATTCAAGGCACCACAGTTATGAAGTGCGGACATACAATGCATATGGAATGCTTTCGGGAGATGGCAGCCCAAAATCAGTTAGCTCACTTTGCACTAAATTCTTTGTTGCTTTTAGATAAACACAGTTCATCATTGATAAAAGGCTCCTGATTTGCCATTCAGGTACCGTTGTCCTGTCTGCTTGAAGTCAGCATTCAATATGTCAGAGAATTGGAGACATCTGGATCTTGAGGTGTGCTGACCTTTCTCTCTTACCGAATTTCCCCTCCTTTACAGGATCTCTTGATCTCCTGATGTTGGCGGCAATTTTAATTTCACTGGAAGATTTTAGGTCTCCAATAGTTGGCATGATAAGAAAAGGACAGAAACAAAGAAATGCATATTTGCTTAATGGTATCCCAACATTTTTGGAATAATGCAAAGATTAAAATCTTTTAGCTCAGGTTATCTGTGCTCCAGCTACCCTATTTGTATTCTTTAAAATGTTTTTTTAAACCAATGGATTTGTCTTGACTCAGGATTCTAATCCATGCCTTTGATAAAAGCTGACAATGATTCTGCTGTGTATGAATTTTTGTTAACAAAAAGTCATAGATTTTCCATGCAACGTCTTAAATATTTTTCATCATGACTTTATTTCCAAGTTATTACTCCTTAATTATATTCTTTGATTTTGCCCTTATCCACCTTAGCCCCCTGAATCGTATGCTTTAACCTCTGGTTGATTCCTTTCTGAATTACATTCAGCCCTTCTAGCTGACACTTCTGAAGTATGAATCTTTCGCAAAATCACTGTCCTTTGAGATTCAAATACGTGCTAAGCCTTCCTTATCCCAATTAGTTAGTCAGAACCAATTTTTTTAAGTTCCAGCTTGTTGAGTATTGAACACATAGCAGAAGAAGTTATATTGTGTACCTCCATGAAGATCACATAATGATTACTCATTACTGATGTTGCTTAAGGATTACAAGTTATTAAGTGGCATCTTCATGCACGGATTATTCAGCATTCTTCCTTGATCTTTTATATTATTTTTCCCTTTCTAAAGTATAATGAAGGGGCATCTCCCCCTGGAGACTTGATGTCTCTCTTGCTCTTCCTTTCATAATTTCCCTAACTATTTGAAGTTTTCCATGCTGCTGCTGAACATTAAGTGATTGCTACTTCAAACTTTGATGTGTGATTTTGACGATCATGGCCTGATCTATGAAGATGGAGGATTCTGTGTTGACTTGGTTATTTTTAATGTTAACAGATTGAAGCTGTTCCGATGCCTCAGGAGTACAAGACTGAGGTAGTTACTTACATCTGTGTTGTTCTCTCTTGGCTGGTCTTCTAAGAGTATAACTAGACAACTGACGAAATCCCTGTTTGAATTCTAAGCAACTTCACGGAATGTTTTCTGCATGATATAATTGATTTTATAGCATCATACGCATATGGTTATAGGACACTTCTGAGTATATATGGAATGGCAAATTAGCTTACTGAACTGAAGATTGAATTCGAGTAAAAAGGTGATGTCATAGGCAAAATTAAGCACTAGGTTGCTTGCATATCTTACAGGTCTCGATTCTGTGCAATGACTGCAATACCACCAGCGAAGTGTCGTTTCACGTCTTAGGCCACAAGTGCAGACGGTGCGGTTCGTACAACACCCGTAGGATTTCATCACCACCTGAAGATCAATGAAGATTTATGGTTTTAGTTACTCATACCAGATTGCAAGTTCACCATTTTCACTTATTTTTGCTCATTCCAGTTTGACGTATGGCCTCATGTTGTATTACTATTTCAGTATAGAGTGTACAATTTATTGATTAAAAGTATTTTGATTCATTGATTATTGATTGTTATTATATAATCTAAGAATTAAGAACTGTTAATTTAGAGATCTCAAATTGATTCTTATGTCTTCTAAATAAAAATTGAGTAATTAAATCGCCTTTAAAAAATTGTATCTTGTTAAAATAATGTATGGGCTTAAATCTATGCTGATGAAGTCAAGACGGGATAAATAGTAGACAGGTACACCAGTCGCATTGCAATGCACTGTTATTTAGGATCAACACTGAATAAATCGTATTGAGGTACCATGGGCAGCCTTTTATATGTGTAAAGCAACATCTTCTTTGTCTCAACCTCGTGCAGTTGCCAACTTACTTCCTTGGATATTTTCAGGAGGGGGGGGGGATGAGTGATATTTGGGAGCACTGGACAACCCTTCTTCTTTATAGTGGTCACTGTACGGAGTCTAAAGTTGTAGAACAGTGTACAGAAAATTCCCTCAAATTGTACACTCTGAAGCAAAAGCACAGGATTCTCTGATTATATATTGTTGTTTTCCATGGCTAAAGGTATAGAACGTTGCTTAGAAGTCCAAGTTTTACTCCAGACCAGAAGAGATTTAGCTGGCTTCTTATTCAGAGTTTATCAGCTTTTTTTTTTTTTTTTAAGTATCCAGTATTAAGAGAGCCGTATTGCCTAGATACCTCGCAGTGGACACCATGCAGCAGTAATCTATGAAAAGGATCTCATATGCGTAGTTCCACAATATCCCGATCTGTGCTTAATTCCGTGTTACCATTAACAAAAAGACTTGAAGCAGATTTTCAGGGTTGGCCCTTTATTTATCTTTCAAATTGTGCATGTATATAGAAACAACTATGAAGCATAACCTATAGTTCCATCTCTGGTGCATCTGATGCATTAATAAAACATGCACAACTAAAGGAGATCTTGAAGGTGCAAAAACCTTAATGAATGCAGTGAATAGCGCATAATTCAGATGATAATCCGGATTATTACTCCAAGGCGGTGGAGCAAACAAGCCTCTGGTTTCTTTAGTATTCGGTCGTCGAACAAGTTCCATCAAGAGACGATCATTTAAAAACCTACGAGACATTCGATGTGTAAAATGAACAAGTCTCCAATTAATTAACAAGCCGTCATACAAAAGACTTTTTGCTTTTGCGTGATTCACAGGGTCTGCCTTGTGAATCAAGTTTTAGCATTAATGCGTCACACAATTAGAACAATGACCGTAACTATTTCCCTCTTTTGAATTTTAAGTTGCTGCTTTTCTTCTCTTCTACTTTGCCGTTTCTTGTTGCTGCAGGCTACATCTTTTTGTATAACTATTCGTTGATCGATTCGACAAAATTTTACTATCGAAGGCCTAATACAAAGACGAACTATAAAGCATACGCGGAGTTTCTTTTTGTATATCTACTACTTTCTGTCCTTAATATAAAAGTTAGTTAATTAAATTAAATAAATTAAAGAGATTAGTTAAATTAATTATTTGTAATAGATAGATATTATATTTCTTAAAATATCCTTATTAATCAAGTATATTAGTTAAAACTATTATTATTACAAAGATTATCTTGAGAAAAAATAAATAAATTTATATGAGAGGAAAAATGAATTAAAATTTTATATTTATGATTAAAATAAAAATCAAACAAACTCTTATATTAAAGATTAGAAGGTGTATGTGCTTTTTTTTTGGAGTGGGGGAAGCAATGGTGTAAAAGTCTGAAGAGAGACAACTAGCGAAAAAAAAAATTAAACCGTACAGTCATCTCTAACCCGCCCCCTTCAAACTGAACCACGCACCTGTCTACTGTACATATCAGCTTCGCAGCCATGTGCTGCCTTTATAATTTTTCTTGAGAAATGAAATTCTTTTCACTAAAAAAACAAGAGGCCATCGATTTCCGATTTCCTAATCAGATACCATTGTCCTGTATGCTTGAACTCAATATTCTATATGTCAGAGACTTGGAGACATTAAGATCTTGAGGTGTGCAAACCTTTTATAACCCCTCTCTCTTGTCTGATTTTTGCCTCTTGGGTTAAATATGTTGGACTGTGTTTTCATTTGATAATGTATCATATATCTACCTTCTCTTCAGGATAGAACCGGGAATCAGGGCCGGTCCTTCAGAGCTGGCGGGTTTAAAAGGACCGGCCTTCCAGGGCTGAAATTTTAAAAATACTCCAATTTGTTAGGCCTGGCCCTTAAACTACAGGGCCAGGGTCGGCCCGCGGGCTTTTGGCCCGTTTAAGAAAAAAAACTATTTTTTATATTTATAATTTTTTTTATAAAAATATAAAAATAAACCAATGAAATTATTAATAAAAGACATAAATATAAATAAAATTAAGTCACAAATATAAAATATTATCATATATAAATATTCATCAACATCTAAGAACATCTAAAACATTCATTAACAAGATAACAACATCTAAAAGTTTTATCTATAATGCAATTGTGCAATAAATAAACATTATCATTAATCTTTTGAAACTTCATCATCACTATAATTAATTATTTTTCTTCATAAGCATGCTTTTCTTTCGTAACAAAAATATCAAGTTTTTCTTCTTTATAAGAATTTTATTTTTAAATTTTACAATCTAACTATTATTTTACTTTAATGTGAGAAACATTATTGTTGAAACTCATGAATTTCTAATTCAAATTATAGAATCACAAGTTATATAAGTATAAAAATATTCTATTATCAAATACATATATATAGTTTAAAAATATCAACGCATATAATATAAATCAAATCATTATTAAAGTCCAAATTAACCCATTTTTTAAAAATTTAATTGGATAAATTATTGTCTAAAAATAAATTTAATTTTAAAATGATAATAATAACTAAATATTTGAAATATTATTAACAATGTAAAAAATTAATAACATTAATATTATATAAAAAATTTTAAAAATAAAAAAAATTATAAAAGGGCTTAAAAGGGCCGGCCCGCTGCCCTCCAGGACCAGCCCTTCAGGACTTATTTCTCATTTTAAGAGAAAAATATCAAGTCCGGCCCTCATAATTTCATGGCCTAAAAGGGCCGGCCTGACAGGCTCGGCCCGTTTTCCCGACTCTACTTCAGGATCTCCTGAACAGAACTAAGCCCACTCATCATAAATCAGCAGTAGAATTGCAGAAATGCCTGGCGAAGGTCAAATGATGACGAGAGAACTATGGAAAGTTTGAGTCTTTAGATTTCTGTGGGATAGTGAATTGTTGGAAGAAGGTCATTATTATGTATTTATGGAGATGAAATGAAAGCATGATGAGAGATGAAATAAATGAAAGAGCAACCAGCCTTATCTTCACAGGAAGCTTGGGAGTGGATGCTAGAATGGGTAAGAAGTCAGAGTTAAAAATTTGTCACGGTTTTGTTTGACAGCAACATCCAAAATCACAGTGGGGAGGTGAAGAGATGAGAGGGGCCTGGCAAGACTTTTGAATTTTGAAGACAAAAAAGGGTTGGAGGAAGAGATAATGATTAAGTAAAGAGGTGAGATCAAGAAAGATCACAAAATCTGATTGATGACTCACTCTTTGGACGGACGCCTTTCTGATGGATGATGCAGAGTTTCCAGCGAATTCAGCAGACAGGTCTGGTTGCCCCCACCCCCATAAATATCCCATTTGGCCCTTTGATAATGAAATCCTCGTCCCCTCTACTGTTCCTGCTTATTCATCCTTCTATCTAGAAGGGGCAACAAAAATTGAGGGATATGTAGTATTTATAATTTATATTAGGGCTTACTAAATTATAAAAATAATGATTATGTACTTCAACAGCTAAAACATTTTTTATGAAGACTGTAAATTTTTTTTGGGGGGGGGGGGGGAAGGTTACTGTTAGTGTCTTCTAAAACTACCACCCACACATTTAGGGGGGCGTGTGTATATTAAAAAAAAATCCCTTTTATCTTTTATCTTTTTGTCTTTTTGACCCATTATTACTGGAGTTCCCTTTTTTTCTTCAATTTTTGCCCAAAGAAGCTCCCTTTCATTCTACAAACAATTCTTGGGGTGACTCTTAAATTATGAAGATACATATTACGTTATTTTTATAATAATATTGTTTTTGACAGACGGGAAAAGATAACTAAACCAAAGCTGAAATTTTTTTGGTAATAATATATAATAATATATTTATTTTATATTTAATATTTAATTATAAACTAAAGCATGATTGAAAACCTTTTATGAGAATATAACATTGCAAGTTTTAATTTTTATCATTTGTTGGTATGGTAAATTGCAACGGGAAAGATAGTCAATGCAACGGTATGACCAGAGAAAATTTATTTGGTTATGTAAAATTTATTTACTTTTACATTCTTAATTTATTTTTATTAAATAAAAAGGAAGTGATGCTGGAAAAAATCGTAATATTTTATTTTTAATTCTTCATAAAATTTATTTTTATTATTTTATTTTATGTAAAAAGACACAAATTTATGTAATATCTTTTCTTATCACTTTTCCTTATTTTAAAGCCACTAAGCATATCCTGCTGATAAGGTCAAAGGGAGAATATTCCTGTCCCAACTCACAACTGGTTCCTTATTTTTGGCTCCTCAATTTTTGGGGAAAGCGTGAGCTCTTTCTCGAAAAGATAAAGTTCCTTGAATGGAAATGAGCAATTTTTTATAATTTAAGATCACCAGGCAAAGACCAAAAATAAATATTTTTTAATTTTTAATTCCTAATAATGCTTTGACTTACAACCAAACCAATATAAAATTCAAAAGTGAAAAGTGAGTGGATATTGATTGGCGGGTGCCTGAATGGTGAGCAAGTGATGACGCTATGCAATAGTAAGCAGCCAAAAAAAAAAAAAAGAATCTTTCCTAGTCTTCGTGTAATAAAGCTCAATTTAGCAGTGTGAAACTGGAATTTGATGGTATCCAACTTGGTGTTAAAATGATTTTTAGCAGTGTAGGAAAAAACAAGATTGAAGTATCGTTTTCAAACCTAGTTCTTGATCAGCAAGAAAGGATAACCTCTCTTGCGCATTCATTCGCTTTTATCCCAAAATTCTCCTTAGCGCTGTTTTAAAGCCATATTTCCCCACCCTTTTACTCTTCAGAAATCTGAAGCCTTTCTCATTTTCCGAACATCGGGAAATATGGGTGATTCTCCGAAGCACCCCAATCTGCCGGATAAAGATCGGGCGCCAAAAGCTCAAAGGCCATGCGACTACTGTGGCGACTCCACTGGTATTCTCTATTGTCGAGCTGATTCTGCGAAGCTCTGTTTCTCTTGTGATCGTGAAGTTCACTCTACCAACCAACTCTTCTCGAAGCACACTCGAGCTCTGCTCTGTGATGCCTGCAACGATTCGCCGGCCACAATACTCTGTTCTACCGAAAGCTCCGTTTTCTGCCAGAATTGTGATTGGGAACGGCACAACCTTTCGTTGTCTTTGGTGCACGATAGGAGGCCACTCGAGGGCTTCACTGGGTGTCCTTCCGTGAGTGAGTTGCTATCGATTCTGGGTTTTGAAGATTTGGGCAAGAAAGCCCTGTTTTCGACTGAGGATAGTGGAGTGTGTGACGTCGGTAGTGGCGATGGATTTGTGGGATCTGAGCTTGAGGAGGGCCTTTCGGACTTGTTCGTGTGGGATGCTCCTGCTGTTGTTAGCCTTGACGATTTGATAAGTTCTACAAGCTCGTCTCACAATTATCAGGCCATGGAGGTTCCTCCTCTGCCTAAGGTATATCAATAGTTTATGCTTGAAAAACATTGGAAGTCCATGTATTATCAGAATTTTGACTTGTTCAGGTTCTTCTTGTTGAATCAGAACCGTAAGGCTGCTTGTGGGCAACACAAGGAAGAAATCATTAGTCAGCTTCGTGAGCTAGCAAAATCGGAGCCCAGCTTGAATTTTGGAGATGTAGATACTGAACGAGTGAGCTCCAGGCACCCCATAGTCCCTGAACAGTATTTAAAGTCGGCAAGCTTGTCCACAGGTTTTGAACATGAATTCGAGGCTGATATTTTTCCTTCGTACGAGGTAAAGCTTCTATTATGTTGGCATTTATCATTATAATGGGTTTACACATGTATCTGTGCAACGCTTGTCTTGGAACTCTATCTTTTGGTTGCATTTGCATCTGTTTTTTTTGTTGTTGTGCTGTTCTTACCATTTCTGTTATATGTGTAATTGGTGAGAAATTGATTTCTGACTTCTCATTCAATATTAGAACACTACTGAAGCATGCTTGAGATTCTGCTTTGACATGTCCTACTCTGTCGTAGTTTTTGTCCCAGTTAACCTTGGATTGTTATTGTTTAGCTTATGTCAGATTTTGAACTACTGGTTGCTGCTTTCTTAATTGTGGGTATGACATTTCTGCTAAAGAATAATACATATGCAGACAAATGTTTTAGAGGGGCATAGAGATAGTGAGACTGCAAATCAAGTTGTTCCTCCTAATACATCGTTGTATAAAGAAGAAGCTCTTGACTTCCATTCAGTTTCCACTGTCTGTGGGAATCATACCTATCTTAGCAGTGGAGGACAACTGAACTCTTTTAACTCTGAAAACTCATCGACGACCCCAAAAGTTGCTTCGTATGAGCTGACAAGTCAAGAAAGAGACTCTGCCTTATTACGTTACAAGGAGAAGAAGAGAACAAGAAGGTATAGGGGAATCCATTGCTTTTGATGTGCATAAATCCGGGCTTAAATGTTCTAATGCTAGAAAAAAAAATTATCATTTGACTTGTCAAGCTGACACCCTTTGTGTGAAAAAAATAACAGATATGACAGGCACATAAGGTATGAATCACGAAAAGTTCGGGCAGAAAGCAGGACAAGAATCAAGGGTCGTTTTGCTAAGATAGAACACTGAAGTTGTGGTATAACGTCAGAACTGCAACACTGATACAAGGTGGTTGTCATTTATTTCTACGAGCTATTTTGTATATAGTGTACTTGTATATGACGTTGCGTCGAATAATTATCCTTTGAGCTAAAGCTTAGATAATACATGTAGCTATGCTAGCAAATGCATAGAGTTACAGTACAGTGTCCCCATGTAATGATATTATGTGGAGCTAAAGCTCAGTTTTCCCCCCCTAATTTTCAGGATACGATTCATAATCTGGCTGCATCTTGTCATAGTCTAACTTTCTCTTTTTTCCATCGTCATAATCTAACCCTTTTGTTGCCTTCGAGTTAAAATATAGACCAGTCAAGGGAGTTAGATAAAAGAAATGCTTTCGATTACTGTATCTGCTAGCCCCAGATCCTCTTCTGGAATGCTGCTTTGATAAGTAGGTCACTCGCCTGTATGGGCTAATAAGACAACAGCCCCTTTGGGTTGGAGATTCAGAGCGGAAAGAAGCCTTTTCAACCTATTTGGTCCCGTTTTAAGGCAAAAACAGAGGTTTTCCTTTCCCTTTCTTGTCAGCTCAACCTCACTCGCGTGCTTGCGTTACGTATCATCTCTCCGATATGGTTTTACCTCTGTTGAACTAGGCGGCAAGAATATATATATATATATATATTCATGGTTCTAATATGCAAAGGAACGATTTATGGCTCGAACCCACTACTTCTACCATACATCTTGAAACTATAATGTTGATTCGTGACTTCGGACATGACCAGAAAATGCTATAGATAACGAGCACGTCTGCAGTTAAACACCTAATATACGACACTATGATTAAACATAAATTGTTTTTCAACCATGTTAGCATGTGGCTGAACAATCAAACCCTTGGAATCCCATGTTGCTCCTCTGCTAGAGCTAGAAGAAACGATAGGAGCAGGTTTGCACTTGATTTGAGTTCCACCTCTTCGTTCCTTGTTGATTCATCTTTATGTTACAGTGAAAAGGGCCTTCTTTTCACAAGATCATTTCGTTTAGAAATTTACTAGCATTGGCTGGTTTCACTGTCTCATGTCTGGAGTCTTAGGATTTCTGCCAAAACGAACATTCTAGACGGGATATCTCTAGAGCTGCTGTGAGACCAAGCAGTTAGACCCATAAATCTGGAATAAGAAAGGGGCAGAGGGGAATCATGATAGTTGACTGATTGGTTTGGGCCCCATGAGAGTAACCACTACATCCAAAGACTCTTTGAGGAGGCGGCCCTTGGCGAGGGGTCAAGATGGCTGAGTGTAAACGCTAGGATGTAGGAAATGACCTGTTCAGTAATCAGTAGTTATCCACTTGTCCCCCAGTCTAGTTCCCACATTGTTCCTTTCATTGTACTATAATTAATATAAGGGCTCAGAATAGACTCATTATTCCAGCAACCTATCTCGGTTGGATTCTTGACAGGGCCACCCTAGATTTCCCGTCTTTCATTTACTCCAGACAGAAAACCAAAAAAAAAAAGAAGGTCACGCATGACGCCATCTTTATGTATATTTTATATCATTGAACAAGTGAACAACCCTTCTGCTTTGCTGGTAATTAGGATTTTACTACACTGACCTAAAACGGAACGTGAAGTATGACAATTCATGGATCATCAACCATAGAGGACATTCAGAATCAATTAAACTAAAGAGACCTAGCTTTTATATATATTCAACATTACGCAGTGCTACGGCACCTAATTAAATAGACCTATCCACCAACTGGTCTGAGAATTTACTACAGAGCAAAAGCATTACATTAACTAAGCGTTTAACAACGATATGGCATCATCTTCAAAGACAGGGAGAGAGTTCCGGTGGCCTGAAAGAGAAACACAGAGTGGGCTTCAAGGGGGATGTTCCATGTATTAGTTGAGTCTGAAAGCAGAGAGAGCCACCAGGCCGAGAAACGCCGTTGAGCCGACGAGAGAGATAACTACGGCGGTGGTCATGTGCCGGCAATACGCGCTGAACTCATCACATACCTCCATCCAATGCACGTGCGCGTTCCCTTTCTGTCCGATCACTCCTACTGCGGCCGCCGCTCCGTCGGCCGAAAACAGCAGAGCCATTATCACCAGGTCGCACATCGTCACCACCAACTTCAGTTTCAAGTTGTTGCCATTGTTGCTTCTTCTCGCCGCCACCTCTGTTATCACCAGAGAAGCTGCCCCGTAGGAGCATGCTATGGCATTCGACACCAGAAAATACCTGATCCGGTAACACATAAATATATATAGCGCGGAAGCTTATACTAAAGCAAACTTACAAAGCAACAATGCTTTGGTTGATGAGAAATGAGTCATTTGGAGAAACCTAGAACTTACACGAAAGCAGACATGTATTTCCAGTGAGCAGTGGCTTGCAAGCGCAAGCCGGCGAAAAAGGTAATGGTCTTGGTCTCTTTGTCGACGCCGACGATGAAGGTAGCGATGAGAGTGAGTGCGACGGCGAGGAATCGGAGCAACAAATGGCAAGCTCTGAGCCTGTTTGGAGCAGGGCTGTCCACCAGCTTGCCATCGACGCCGTCTAAGGGGGTGGGCTTGTTCTGGCTCACCATGTCGTTGAAGATGAAGGAGAAGGAGAGAAGAAGGAGTATATGAGGAGGAGAGAAAGGAGAAGGGGGTTCAAATAACAATGGCGGATGCTGAGGCTGAAGGAGAAACGTTGTTGAATGAGAAAGGTGGGGGAGTTGATTCGCATTGAAGCCACATCGTACGGCCATCATTTAATTCAATGAACCATCCCCACTCCATGCCCTGCCTCCGCTTCCATCAGACCGTACTTCCAAATTTGTTATCAACCTTGCTTTATTTCTTTCATCTTACTTTAGTGTATATACGTAAGTGTCTTTTTCTTCAAGTTTTCATGCACCAGAATACAATTTTCACGCACTAGAATACAATTTTCACGTTGAATTTTCTCTTCAGCTCACCGTTGTAAGGAAATGTGTAGCTTCTTGAAAATCTAAAGCGCATTTGAATTTAAAAGGGATAGTTTTGAAAAAATAATAATTTTTGGATATACTAAACGAGTAACTTCTATATAACATTTCTTCTAAATTCATCTATGGGTGGGTAAATTTTTCTCTTTATTGCCAGCATCGATCGGTGGGTAAATTAGAGTAACGTTTTCTGGCTGTGGTGAACCACATATGGTGGGCCAAGCTTTGTTCAATTTGAGAACAGTAATTGTGAAAATAGGCCCAGCCCATTCTTATTGGGCCTTGCTCATTTAAAGTTTAAGCAAATCCTCGGCCTATAATCTTTGGGCTCAGTTGACTTTGCCTGAGAGGGAAGGGGTTTTTTTTTAAAAAAAAAAAAGGAGCAGAAGCTCCAAGAAAAGATGAGTCCGCCGATACTTAGATTAGCCTGTAACTGAGTACAGAACAGAATGGACCAACTTTATCGATAGACCATTCAGGGGTTCAACTAGAGACCCAGCTATCGAGTTCAACAGTATGAATAACACCCTCTCACCCAAAAAAGAGGGGATTTGATTCCCTATCCTAGAATGAGGGTATTTAGGTTAACACCTAAAAATATAACGTAACTTTACTATGCCTAACATTGGTATCACGTAGAAGAAGTCATTCAAGCGCTTGACCCTTGACTTAAGTTTGAGCCCAAACCCCTGTCTAAAATTATTTTACCGAAAAAAAAACCTAGAGACACAGCTGAACATAAATCTTAATCTATTCAAGTGAAAAGTGTGTCCATTTCAGGAACTGTCTTTAGTCCTTGTTTTTCATCGTCCCGTTACTTTTATTCTTTCTGCTAAAACCGGGCACATATATTAAATATGTGGATCCAATATTGGAGCAGTTATTAAGAGAGCCATGCGCTCTTCAAACATGGTAAGATACTCCTCTGGTCCTTAATATAAGATCTTTTTAACTAATTTGACTAGATTAAGGAAGTTAGGTAAGTTAGTTAATTATAAGAAAAGTGACACATTTTTCCTAAAACACCATAATCATTTTTCTTAATACCCCCTCTCCCTCTTCTACTTAATTATAGTTGAGGGAGTGTCTATAAGGGTAATTTAGAGAAAATTAATAAATATGAGAAATGGGTCTTATATTTAGGACCAAAACCAACTCAAGAATTGGATCCTATATTAAGGACCGGAGGAGTACTATGTATTATGGCATATTGATTGCGAAGTATCATGTTATACTGAAATTATCACAATTTTCACTCGACAATAAAATAATCAGTTTCAACAGTGTCATATGTGTATCGAAGCTTATGCCATAACTAGTTTTAATTACCAAGCTCACGTTAAGCGAAAGTATAAACTGATGTTAAGATGGATTATCAGAACATGTCTGTACGCAAGAGCTGAAATTTAAATCATCACTACTGCTATTGCAGATTTGAGAAGCATAAGGTTGATTACCAGTTAACAGTTTGGGTTGGGAAGAAATCAGCAGCAAATCATCAAGGAAGCCTTTGGAATCTAAAAAGTTTACAATCTAGCTTGCACCAAAATGCGTGAAAGGCTACTGCTCTACGAGGCTAGTTCAGGCTTCACGCAGTAGGAACCAAAGTAAAATTATTTCCCAACAGCACTTTTAACCCTACTTTCATTTAGGCTCTAGAAGCAGCCCCTTTTTTTACTGTATGAACAGGGAAAGCAAAAAAGAGCAAGCATGATTGTTGGCAACAAACAAAAACAGAACAAAGCATGACCGAAAAAGTAACTCATAATAAAATGTTTATCAGCAACAGAGTTGAGAATAACTAACGACACAAGCAGAGGTTTGAGCAAGCAAAGATTCTTAGTTTCTTACATCTTAAAATCCCAGAAAAACCCAAGTGGTAAAAAGTGATCAAAGATCATTGCTAAGGGAAGCGACGCAGAGCCAAAAGATTTCGCCTTGGTGGAAGGACACAGATCATCAGAAGAATGAGAACTATGGCCATTGCAATGAGTAGTCCTTCAAGAACACTTGTTAGCCCATCACATAATTTTATGCACATCGTCTTCCCCATAGTTGAATGCTCTGCCGGTGCGTGAAGAAATGGAAGAAATCTCAACTTGCACAAATGTTCAGACTTCAGGATTAATATGCTTTTGAGGAAAAATTTCATTGGTGTCTGGCAAAAAAGAAAAAAAAAAATTCATTGGTCATTTAGTTTCAAGTCAAGTCCATCAATATAATTCCACCACCATTAGTCATGAAGTTTCCGAGTGGCAGCATACTTTTCCAACGTTGTCAACACTTATCTATCCGATGTTGACTGAGAGATACTAGAATATCACAAATTCACTATACTAACGGTTTATATGCGTCTCTTATTTAAGCTAACCACTTAAGTTAGAATGTTATGTGGTACAGGGTCACATTTTTCATCTTTTATATGAATTGTTTCTTTCCCATAATATCCCTATTTATCAAGATTTTTTGTATCTATATGCATTAAATTATAATAATTAAATAATAGGAATAATTAAAAAAATGTTACAGATCTCTATGTACTTATTAGATACAAAAAAACCATATTAATTACTTTTTCGTATTTTTACAAAGATTTTTATATTTAGGTTTGGACTGACTGAATGAGTATCCACGATAAAATCATGGAGCCCTTATTTAAATTCTAGTCCCAAGTGTAATCAAAAGTGACCCACTTGCTGATTTTTAAATGTTGAAAACTTAAAGCAGTGTAAAAGCAAGCCCAAATATTCCTATCACTAGGTGAAAGGAAGGGGGAAAAAAAATAAAAATACTTTGGCAAAAAAAAAACTAAAAATAAACGGCACACCAGACTTCCCTGAAATTTCCCAGCAAAAACGGTGGTTTTGAAACGCAAATTCCCTTCACATTCCTACAAATCAAATATAAAACTTGTCTTTTTTAAGTAACTGTGTCCCCACCAATGTAGATTCGTGCCCAATTTCTTGCGACTAGTCCATGGAGTCAACGATAAGTTTAGACATGTTCTGATACTGAGGATCAGCCGTGGAAGATTAGCAATCTCAAGTTTGAATGACTAATCTGAGGAAGAACAGTAAAGTGATATAGACACAGGAAAATGAAGTTGAAGTTTCATAGTATGGGATGATTCACTTGGCTGTGTGGGAGAGTGAGGGGGGGGGGGGAGAGGGCATGATAGGAATCATTGGGGTGTGGCATGCCATTATTGGAATTTCAGTGTCAGTAAAATGCAGATGCCAAATCCAAAGGGACTGTGGCAGTGTCATTGGGCTCGCTTTTGCAATAATCATAGAGAGAGCCATCAATTGGGGCACCGAAATATAATGATGAGAGGGAGGGAAGCAACAGTTGAAGGAAACGAGGAATGATGTGGAACAGTGAAAAATCAGGAGGAGGGAGTGATTAAAAAGGACCATAGTAATAAGGGAATATAAATGATGATGATCATGAACATGAAACGTGCGGCCATCATTCACCAATGAAGCCTCCCTCTTTTACTCCCCACTGCAGTAGTTTTTGACGCTGCCTTTTTCTTTATCCCTGAGCCCACTTGTCCAGTTTCAGAGAGAGAGAGAGAGAGAGAGAGATTTAGCAGTAGTAATTGAGAGGGATGGATGATTCAGGAAATAGGAGGAGGAGGAGGAGGGGCGGGTTACTTTGAGGGATCAGGTGGGAGAAAGAGCAAAAAGCCGGGACACCATCCAATGTTACCGAATCTATCACGTGGCTCACCAGTCGAGGCTCTCATATATCTCCCACGCCACCTTTTACTTCCCCACTTTTTTTAAATGCCATTGCCAGAAACTCACTTCCTGCAAGCAAGCTGCCTCTTTGTTCTTCGCCTTAAGTAACCTCTGATGCTCCCTGCCACGGATATTAGCGCTTTTTATATTCAGATCAGTTCCACAAATGAAGACTAGTTATGCAGGTTCTTCAAAACCATCTCTTCAAGTTCTCACATGCGCGTAACAAAGATTTTTACTGCATATCTGGCTTGAATGCTCTTATCAATTGGTTTAGTTAAGAAAGACAACTAGTATTCTAATAATGGGACGTTGCAGAACCCAACAAGTACCTCATTTTAAGCTAAAAATAGATAGCCTAGGAGGGAAAATGTTTTGCATAATCACTTATCATTAGCTCTCTAAACCCAGTCCAACTAATTTACCAACCACACCATTATCATCGCCCTTCAAAGTTCCCGCAAAACCACGTTGACCCCTGTCTTTTTAAGCCCTATTACCTCGTTTAGGTGGGCCTTCGACTCTGTTTTTTGTTCCTCATTTAGGGGTTCTCATCAAGCACAATAGGATTTGGAGTATCTACATGAGTTCCAACGAGAAAGCGGCTAAAGATGCCGATTCGGTCAACTGAAATGCAATATGCCAATATCACCTTTTTTTGGAGTACTGCAATTACCTCCCAGGCGGTAATGCAAATGATAAAAGCTCGTTCTTCTTGTTATTGCCAGCTACTACTCAGAAAGTCGGACAAGATAAAGTAATTATCAGACATCCAATGTATCAGAATTACAAAAAGTCTATCGCAACAGGGAATTAGATAACGAATTCTCATTATTTAATTGGTTAAGTTCAACAATGACATTGTCTTGACTCCGGAAAACATATCATGCATAATTTTTGCACAAGTCCGCAAAATATTACACTATGAAGAATTATAACAAGCTCTATCTCATGCATATAACAAGTTCGTCCGTTTTCCTTAATCGCTACTAGGTATTCAGCCTGTAAAATGAACGGCAATGGAGCTGAAGCTTGTGTACCTCTCCGTGGCCAGCTCAAACAGCGTCCATAACAGCAATTACACAAGAGCAGCATTCACTTGAGACCACCACATTAAGGCATGTACCTGAAATTCCCAACTCCAACACTTGAGGCATGTCAATTCCAAGGTTCGATAGGTACAATTCGTTTGATCATGAAAACCTTAATTGAGAATCATCTTCCATTGTCCACACAAAGTCAGGCATGTCCAATCTTGGCCCAGCAATCGTCCTGTATATATAGAGCTTCTCAACAGGACAACTCTCTGGCCTTGAATCTGGAGGTCCTCTCTCATCAATGACTTCAACATTAAGTCTGGGCATCTTCTGACCCAGCAGTTTACATGCTCCAAAACTCACCAAACACGAGGACATCCAAAGGGATCGCATTGTCTCCAGCTTCGCAGCATTGGCCAAAAGGGCCTTGTCACCAAATGGGCAGTCCCTGATCTCTAGCTTTCTAAGGTTATCACACCCAGAAAGTATATGATGGAGTCCCAAGTCACTCTCTCCAGCAAACGCCACAGAAAGCATCTCGAGCTTCTTCCCATAGGTACCAATGTAGTCAAACACACGATCAGTAAGAAGACCCGAAAGAGATAGACGCTGGAGATCCTTACAATGTTCAACAATAGCTCCAAAACCAGCATCCAGCGGTTGAAGGGTAAGGTAGTCAGGAGTTCGAGGCTCAATGATACACAGGCGAAACCGAGTCATATTGGGCCTGTTTCTAGCAATTGTAACTAGAGCAGCATTAGACATCTGCCGACAGAAATAAAGAACTGACTGGAGCTTTGGGCAGCCTTCGGACACAGAAACAAGCCCATGTTCTGTCAACGCTACATTTGGCTCTAACCCAAATGGGTCAGATGGAAAAACTCTGAGCTCTCTTAAATCCTTGCACGACGCAGCTAGGGCATCAAGGCCAGCATCTTCTATGTAATCCAGCACCTATAACAACAACCTTAGTTAGCATCAGAATTCACAGTAGGACTCTGGATGTCGCACCAGAGATGAAAACATATAACGAAAAGTAACATCATCTAAAATCAAGCATACCCATAACCGATGCAAATTACGGCATTGACTGACAAGCTTGATCAGATCAAGGCTTTGAATAGTTGCATAACTCAAGTTTAGTGATGTTAACCTAGAGCAGATAGGATAGATAGCTGGAAGGTAGGATGGGAGCACATCCCAGAAGCCAGACAAACTCCTCAATTGCTTACACCCAGATAATGCTCCTGCTAAGTTTAAGACCTCAGGTCGAATGTCAGACGAGTAGGCTCCTGTACCTAACTCAATTAGCTGAGGAGCCCGGCCAAGTAGGTTGGCTAGCCTATCAAGGGGCACGGCACGGTTGAGACGAAGAGTCTGCAGGTTGGGACACCTGCCGACCAGGCGCTCAAGTGCAGAGAAGCTCACCTCAGAACCTAAGCAAGAAATGTTGAGAGAAACTAATGACGTACACGAATCAGGAAAATGACTCAGCCAATGCCCATTAAGGTCGTCCACTTCACTCTCCCGCAAGTCCAACTCTCTCAAATTCCTGCAATATATTATTAGCATGAGAGGATGTATCAGTGACAATGGCAAGACACTTTCTACAAACAAACTAGCCCGTCTGAATCAAGGATGCATTAAACAAACTGAGCCATACCATGCCAAAATATTTAAGTATTCATTTTATATGCATGACTTGTTTCAAATTAACTGTCGGACGTCAACTACCCAAATTTGAAAAGTCCACGAATATGTCAAACCCACAACCAAGGAAAAACAAACAACTGCAATCATGATTACAATACGAATCCTTAAATCATGTGGCTGCCGGATCAACTCCAATACCCCCTTTCCAGGTGCCCCACCATCCTCCCTCCCTCCCTCAAATACAAGTGTAATAGGAAATTAGAAGAACAAAACTAGTAAGCGTGCGTTTCACCCGGATTCGACTTTACCTTAATAAACGACCGGACAACCGGAGTAAACTACAGCCTAAAACTCCCAAATATTTGGAAATTTTGAAGAGGTAGCTCCAAAGTTAATACTAAGAATTCTTGACAAAAGAGGAGTAGTATCTGTGATAACTAGAGGGGGGGAGCTTGATGCAATGTTATCAGAATAGCATTAAGCTGAGACAACGCATAACGAGAAGAAGTTTGTCACAAAAACTATAGTTAACCAATATAACAACTGATCAAAGATCATAAGAAGATATAGTACAGATTAGACCTTCTGCAGACAGTATCAAATGTTCCCCTAGAACGAAGTACTACAAGCCTACCGACAGAATGTACCATCAGGCCATATATTTAAAGCATCATAGCGCTATAATGTTGTCGAAAGCTTGAAACTTCAGCCAAGTGTAACCATCCAGCCATAGAAAAGATCCGAACTTTGCGATCTTCTATGGAGCAAGAAAATGTTCGGAACCTAAATTCTCTCCCTCTCATGCTCACTCCGACCAAAAGCAAAGCCCAGACAAAATTCATGGAAAATGAGAGAGAAGTGAGGATGAAAAGACCTGCAATTGGCAGCAACTGCGGCAAGTCCATCGGTACTAAAACCCTCGCAGGAGGACAGCACGAGGACTTTGAAGTTCTTAAAGGATTTAGCGATCAACTCCAAGCTCTCATTTGTTATGACCATTCTCTTGAGTCGGATCTCCTCAAGCCGCGGGTAGGCCTCCGCCATAGCCGCGATCCAAGGACACACAGAGCCACCCCAACCCTCCGGCACCAAATTGAAGTCAGCAAAGTGAGGTTTCCCTTTGAGGGAAATGGATCTCATCTCCGGGAACCGTTTGATCACCATCGCAGGGCTAACAGCATAGCAGTTCCCGATGAAAACTCTCTTCCGACAGCACCGTTCGATCTCGTACCATGATTTGCACACCAACGAGATCACGTTACGGTCCCTATCCGACTGAATAAATGAGAAAACATGCTCGAGGACCTCCTCAGGGAACGAGTACGCCATTCTTTGCATTGCGAAGCGGCTCAGAGAATTCCCAAGGAATCAAAGATGTCGTTTAGCAAAATGAATACCTTGCCGGCACAAACAGGACAAGCTCCTCAGGTAGAAGCAACAGGGCGGAACCGTTAGATCTGAAGCGCCATTGACAAGTTCGCGGCTGCCGGAGAGAGAGTGCGCGAGGGTGTGTATGTTGGGGAGAGTGATGGGGAGAGAGAGGATAAGGATTTTAAGTTGTGACCAATAAGGTTAGAAATTAACTAAGGTTAAATAGGAAGGGGAGGTTCGCAAGAGAAAGTGACGAGCAATCACGGCAGCGACACGTGGTGGAGAGTTAACAAGAACCGTCGGATGGGCGGGGTGAGAAGCTGATGTTATCCGTTTGAGGGCCACGGAAGAGGAGCCGCAGAAAACGGGTGTACGTAAAGAGGAAAGAGCGACGGCTGATGAGGGAAGGGCCGGGGACCAAAATGGATGTCATTCACGATATTTTGAATGTATCGCGAGTCATGGAGGAGACCGACAGGATTATCGCTGGACGGGAAGGAAGGGGGGGTTGTGATAAAGTGTTATGATGTGCAGCGAGATGAGTGTGGAACGGGAATCTCATGATTTGTGGTGCACGGCTGGATCTGAGAGGTGGGATAGGATACGGTAGGGACCACCAGTGACGGATCATATTAAAGCCAGCTTAGCTAAAAAAAATAGTTAAGCCACGGAGGTTAGATACATGAGGGGGGAGAGGGAATGATACCAAGTGGGCGAGCGCTGGAAATCATGACATCATGACCGTCCAATCATGGATCACCATTTAATTCTCCCACTCAGGCACTCAGCCCCCTCTCTCTCTCATGCCCATGGCTGCCGTCGCTGTGCGTTTACCCGTCAAACAACATCTTTTTCCCCGCAGATTTATTACAGAGAGAGAAGCTAATTTATTTTCAAGTACAGAAATGATTTTTCACTACCACTGTCCCATTTTGTTCAAATATCTGAGCATAATTGAGTATCTAATCTGCAATTTTACGTAATCATCAGTCACATGGGCAACACTGAAAATAGTGCACCCCATATTATACAACTCAGGCATGTCATCAGATTATAATTATGTGGCAATATAATAGTGCACCCCAAAAAAAAAAAAAAGTAACCCATGAATTCCAATTTTTAATATATAAAAAACTGGTGGGGTTATATTCTCCTACATCATCACTCCTTCATTCTGTCTTTAGACGGGGGAAGGGATAAGGCACGTTACGTGTGCTGATCGAGTTAAATAGTCCAATCAGGTAAACAAGCATATGTGTTGATGAAGCGATTGGTGATTTGAATGGTAGGGTTCGTTAATTAGGAATATTTTATTTTTAACTTTAAACGCAGCATCGGGCTCACCAAACAGATGAAAGGTTGGGGGTTAAGTGGAGAAATGGCTGAAAAGTGCTGGGATTAGAACGACTTTTGGTAACTTGCGGTAACAAGTCAATGAGAGCACAAGTTTAACAAGGCAAGTATCCATTTACTTTAATCTCCTAATTATTATTAATAATAGAGAATATATTCAGTCGTATTCTCGTGCCTGTCAATGATGTGGTGAATCCCATCATAGCAAGTTATCTATCTATCTATCTATTAATGAAAACCAAACAAGTCAAACTAGCAGATCATCGTGTGTAGAACGCAATTTGGAATAATAAAGGTTGGGAGGAAGAGTAAAGAGAGCGACTGGATATTCACTATTGTGGGATTAAACCTGAGGAGTCAGATGGATCATGTGGGGAGGAACCAAAGATCAAGGGGGAAAAAAACGTGAGGTGGCAATTTTGACTACAAAGGGAGATGGAAAATACTATTTTAGTCCAAGAGAAATAAAATTTTTTTTATCTCATTTATAAATTATATTATTAAAATTTTCACGCATTATTTTACTTTTTATTTATCATTATATAAAATTTTATTTTTTGAAGAATATGCATGCGTAAAATAAAATAAAATTAAAATTATTAAATTTTGAGAAAAAATAATAAAATTTATTTATTTTGTTCTAATAAAATAGAGTGGAAGTGTGTGTGAATTTAAATTATTAAATAATAATTTGGGGAGGAATTGATTTTAAAGTACAAAGAGTTGCACGTTGCATCACAATCATCGTCTCTCTCTCACGCAGACATACACAAACTGCGTACGGTCACATGGTAAACAATGGCTTCTAATTCACTAACACGACACTGCCCCGAATAAAAACCTGAAGCCAGTGGCAAATTCTCTTCTTTTTTTTTTGAGTTATCGGTTTTCCTCAAATGGTTTAAAAAAAAAATTGGTTTCGAGAGAAAGAGGGGTGGAAGGAGGGGTAAAATTATTGGGGGGAAGAGGAAATGACGGAAATGGGGCTGGTGATTGGGCGGGATTGCAATAATAAAAGAGAAAGGAGGGCACAAGGGTGTCAGAGGATGAAAACGACGTGGTATTATGTGGTTCCTATCACTGCCTGGGCATGGATTCCATAGGGCTGTCTCCTTTTCTCCCAAAAGCTGACCTCCTGAGCTGGCCTTTGCCTCCCTTCCCTCCTCCAGATCAATGGTTCTGATTTTCTTTTGCTCGCCACACAACCCCCCCCCCCATTCAAATGCCTCGGGTCTCTCTTCCGGGTCTTTTTTCTTTTTCTCGCTTCATTATTTTTTAAAATATTTTTATTCTTGATTTTACAAAAAGGAAAATTACATCTGAGGATCTTCTAAAGTATTAAATACCGTCAGCTGATCGACAGCCTTAGATTTTGGGAATTAAAAAAAGGACAAAATCCTAGTTAATTAACTCTCAAAAATTTAATTTTTTAATTGTAATTAATATTGTTAGAAGGTCTAAAATGTCATTTGCACCTGATTTTATATAAACTTCAAATTGATTATAAATTTTTTTTATGGCATCAAATTCAAGTATTGTTCGAAGACATTCTTCATATTTATACAGAGTCCAGCTTGAGATGATATGTTGAAAGGGTTAAGTAGCCAAAACTTGTTGCATCAAATCAACGCTGATATAACGAATTTATTTTAAATGAAATGTCATTCATATGAATTCTAAAACCCTAATTGTCTGAATTAAGATATTTCAATTGTCAGCTGATTTATTTGTCATTCTTCCTTCTCAGTATGTCAAGAGGAACTAGGTAAGAAAAACTATCAAATTAAAATAATTGGTAAGGAAATTTGATGTTAAGATGTTAATTATTTATTATTTAACCAAAACAGCCTTTGAAGAAAGAAATGTACCACCACATGTTTTAAATTACACCACAAAATAAATCTTATTACATTATAAACTGAATTTTGTATTTAGAACCGGGGGAAGTATTTGAGTATTTTATGAAAATTAAGACACTGAATTAAAAGAATAATTAAAGAATAAAATGACATCAAATGATAAAATTGCAATGAAGTTTAAAAAAAGGCAGCCTTGACAAAAATAGTTATGGAGCATATTTCAACCTAAAACGGTAATAGCTGATAAATCTTGTTCCCTGTGAATATGAATAAAATAAGGATTTGGGGGGGGGGGGGGGAAGCAGAGCTGGGATGCACGTAAAAGAGGATTGGAAAAATAGAAAGATGACGAAGACATAAAAGAGGGGAATTAATGAGAAGAGGATTAGAGTATGAAGCCCACGCATGGTTCCCCCGGGAATCTCTCTGCCTCCATCGACTCCCAAATTGACTTCAACTTTTATTTGTAATTTTTGTTGTTTAAGGAACCACAACCGCCCCCCAATACCTGCACGCCAATACAAAAATCCCCCCCGCATTTAATTATGTGATTAAATAAATCAGTATTAACAACTGTGAGCTCCTGACAATATTTAAAAAGCCGGGGTCGTTGAATTTGAATGGTACGAAATTGAATTAAGAAATAAAAAAGGGGGAATGAGGTGGCGGGAGGGAGATCGGGTACACGTGAAGGCGCATATCCAGAGCAGCGAGGGTTGGATCCCTTGGGAGATGGAGCGCAACGCGTGCCGCCTCGCTTGCTGACCCTTCCTTGTTCCCTTCCCCCCTCTCACCTCTCAGCCTTCAGGCCATCGCATACCGTTCCCGTCCCCCAAATTTTTTTTCCAAAGAAGAATACTATTTTGAAAAAAAAAATAATAAAATACTCTCAAAATTACTAATAACAAATTAGGATGGGTAAATTTTAAAATCTCAATTCAGACTCCAAAGTACCATTTTGGAATTTTCAAATTTTGTAAAATGATAACATTGTCCTTACTGTCAGTGACTACTTCCATATAACTATTGACTATTTATTTTTAACTATGAAACTTTTGTTTTAAAGTCAATGAATATTTTTATATAACTATTGACTACACAAGAGTAGTAAATCGCATTACTGGAGTAGTCATAGCTTAACAAGAATAGTCATCAGAAATTAAAAATAAATGTAGTCAATAACTAAAAAGAGTAGTGAATACATAAGCAAGAGTAGTCATCAGAATTAAAAATAAATGTAGTCAATAAATAAAAAAGAGTAGTGAATACATAAGCAAGCAAGTAGTCATCAGAATTTAAAAATAAATGTAGTCAATAGCTAAAAAAAGAGTAGTCAATACATAAGAAATAGTACTCACTAGAGCACCCTGACCAGTCACTGGAGTTCCGGTAAACGTGTTATCAAAGTTCAAAAATAAATGTAGTCAATAGCTAAAAAATAGTAGTCAATATATAAGAAAGAGTAGTCATCGGAACTCCGGTAACCGGTCGCCGGAACTCCAGTGATTGGTCGCTGGCATCGGAGCTCCGGCGGCCGGAATTGCTAATGTGGCAGTATTTAAAAAAAAAGCAAATGGCATTTGTGTAATTTTACAACATTTCAAAATTCCAAAATGATAGCTGGGGTCTGAATTGAGATTTTGAAATTTACCTATCCTAATTTGTCATTTAGTAATTTTGAGGGTATTTTACTCTCTTTTTCCCTACTATTTTCATTCTTTAATTTTCTGCCTTGTTTTCTTTTTTTCACTTGATCAAAGGTTTTGCCTTTCACGGCTTTAATACAAGGATTTTTGTATTTCTCAACAAATATGTTTTAAAGATTCAAACTTATATTCTCTTTTTAATTAAAGTGAGCCTATTTACCACCTCAACAACAGTTGATTCTTCAGTTTTATAAAAACAAAATTACTTGTCACTCTTTCATTTTTATTTTTATTTTTGCCGTGAAACTATCTTTTCACTCTGTTAATTCTAAGACTATTAGTTTGATAAATGAAAAATATTGAAGTGGAAATATTGTCAAATATTAACTTAACTCTTTTGAAAGTAACAATGGTAGGTGTAAAAACAACTTATTATTTGACACTAATGATATCAGGATTGGATGACTGAAAATATATTTTATAAAATTAGAATACCAAATTAAAATATTACTGTTATAGAAAATTAGAGGCATGTGATGTATTTTACCTTTTTTTTCACAGACATTCTTGTTCATGGTTGCAAATTGGATTTTAAT